TGGATATATTGGTATACGTAAAGTGAATTGAATTCAACTCTACTTAGTCCATTTCGACGTTTTCTTGCACATTGAGAACAACGAGTGATCATTCGTTTAAATGACTGGAAACGAAACACAGGCGTACTAAATGACAACACAGGAAAACTGAGCTCGTTAATATGTAACGGTTGATGGACATATAGCCAAGTTATACAAGTTAGCCTTAAAGAAAGCAATTTTGATTTCCAATGTATGCGACCATGATTTTTTATAGGTGAATGCTGAACAACCGTTTTAAGTAAAAATAACTATCGTCTGTTTACAGAAATATTCAACTAACATAATCATTCTCTTCCGCTCAAGTTCTTACTTGTACTTTCACTTATGATGGTCACTTCTTTTTCTTGTGACAATTTCCGGCTCGTAAATGTTGGGTTCTTGAAAAATCCAGTCAGAACACAATGACATCCTCTGACAAAGTATTTATTTATTTATTTGAAAATACTTCGCAATAGTGCTCTTCATAACGATTTTTAACTTCAGTTCCTGTTCTGAATCGCCAGCTTTTCAAGCTGTGCTACGTTGAATCTGGATAAATAAGAATCTGCTATAATGGGATTTAGGCTGTCGGCAGAGTGTTAAAATCTTTTTATCCAGTAGCCGCTATCTTTATGATGGCTTTGCGCTTTTTTCGTGACTCACTTTTAGAGGGTTGAATGCATTATCGTGCATTATGTTTCCCGCTGCACGAGGCTTAAGTACTTTATAATAAAGCAGCCTCTCGGATACAATCAAATATGTAACCAAAAGGTGCTAATGTGGAATTATCTTCTGTGTTGTATCCCAACTTCAACGATTTTTAACTTACGCGGAGGCTTTCGACCTATATAAAAACACGTATGCAGACCCGACTTTTCCAGCGTACAACTACTTTATTAGCGTCTTTTGAGGTTTGGGTAAACTGTGTAGTTCGAAAATTGAAGAAATCACTTTCTTACTGACCTCATCTATGGCTAATTAGATTAATATTTTAATTTCCATGCCGCGCAAACTCCATCTGAAGTAGAGCTCGATCAAAGATAATCGAAAAATATTTGCAAAAAAATATGTTGCGAGGATTGTTGCATCAGCAGTGTTACTCCGATATTCCTGTAGCGGTCTAAAATAGTTTATTCAACGAAAAAGTGATACAATGTTCAATGATATTATGCCAGAAAAATCTCTGCCATCCTAAAAGCTGCACCAGAAGCCGTTACGGTAGAATTGCGTCTAATATGAAAAATCGGCAAAAGGAAAATAACAAATCAACGAACGATATCGAATACACTTTATCAATATCAGGCTAATTATAAAGTTCGACGCGTGTACGTGGAGTACTTCACGAGACTCGGAACCTGCAGCTGCCAGCTTTGCAGCTTATAAATAAAATGAAAGTACTGACTGATGCCAATGCCCGTCCTTATGCAGACAACCTTTGAGATTTTTTGCCGAAATGTACATATGAGCATGGCTTCTTTAAGTATGGATTACAGCGTTGGAATATACGGTCCATTATCATATTTAATGTGTTCGAGGTTTGCACGACAATTCATGTTTGCTCGTTGTATGAAAGGGCATGCAATCTTGCGCATTACAATCGCCATTACGTTACTTATTTTGTGGATAACAAGTACGGAAGTGATGGCCAGCCGCCACTCCTTATATGTAGGGAAAAAGGGGTAACTGAAGGACGCGCCACATAGAGCAAATCTACTGCGTAGATTGTCGTATCGTGGAGTCCATTTAAAAATGTCCTCGCACAATCTTGCAGCTCCTCTCCTCTTGCTCGCAGAAACGAAGACAAATACAGCGTAGCGAATAATAGTACGTTGGATGTATGCAGATCTTTCGAAGCAAAGCGAATTATAGAGCACGCACTGTTTTACTGAAGTACTTATTGTTTTCGTACCTTGGTTGCCAACAGCCAATGGACGTACGAACCAAACGTTGTCTTTAAGTTGAAATTCAAGTTTACAGTTCGGAAGTCTACCTGGAATAAGTTCATAATGTCATTAAAATAGATTTGCGTGCCTCACATACAGCACTGAAATGACATTGTCTTGACAAAACCAATTTCTGATATGCAGCAAGTTCGGATTACCAAAGTTAAACTAAAAGAAAAATAGTAATATTCTGTTTATTACTGTGCGATTACTAATTTACATATTCCTGCGTATTGAATCACCACAGTAAGTTCATCTTCGTCACTACGAAGATGCTACTCCAGAATTTGCAAGGTACTAATTGGATGTACATCAACGGTTTTGACTGTTATGCAAAGTAGGTGTTGCAGACATTAATGACTTTAGTTAATCATATCGCGGAAAAAGACAAGGGGCAATCTTGGAAGAGCATTTTCTGCCCGTTACATTCCAAGTTAAAAATCTTTATATAATGCCCCAGATAAAAAAAATTGGTAGCAACGAACGAGAAACATCAGTTTCATCGAACCTTGAACCTTGATCGCTAATCAAATTGTTCTAATTGACATACAACTAATAACACTTAAGCGTAAAGTTTTGTTTAGAATACAATCACACCCAGAATAGTAGGATAGACAAAGTTATAACTTAACAAATCATTGTGTAATAGAAGTTGTCGTTATTGGTGTAAAAAAAAGCGCTATTATATTTCGGTAAGATAGATTGACAGAAGGCGAATTAACATCCATGCAACATTTAGGTTCGTATGGCTATTTAAGCACTAGGACGCATGTACTGCATGCTTCCTAGTACTTAAATAATAATATAAATAATGATAGGATGACATGCAAGTTAGTAGAATGATTTAGTCAGGGAAGGAGGATTACTGTGGCGGTACAACAAAAATGAGATAACTGAATTGGCTCTACAGAATCCAAAAGTACACTGCTTGTCCGTCTCCTACGTGACTGCCACAATGCCCTGTCGGTTCCGAAGCTGGCGTCGTTTTTTAAACAGGAAACAACTGCCGATTCTTTTTTACCGGGAAACCAACCCTCTCAACACTTTGTTGTCTTTACTACAGGAGCTGACAACGCGGACACGAGGTGAAGCTCCGGATTATCATAAAAATTAGACGTTTTTCTTTTTCTGCCTGGCAGTTACATAACGCTCGCTGCAAGCCTACCTGTATATATCTGTCTTGTTATTTCAAATGAAATGCGTATAATGGTCGCACTGAGCTAACTTGAGATAGATAACGTCGGTAAGCTGGTAGACTTTCGCGCTGAAGCGGGCTGCGTATTGGATCTAGATTTTTTTTTTATAAACAAAGAAAAGAAAAAAAATAGATTATCTAAAAAGTAAATTTTTAGTAGTTTTCGCTTTTTCAGGTAATTTATTTGATAGCTATTATGCAGTTGTAAAAGGCTTTGGTTTTTCGAAAAGCATAGAATTGGAATTTGAAGAAAAGTTAGACTATTCTGTTTTCCTGTTAAGAGTAAATTAGTGCATTAACGGTGAATAAATTTAACGAGAAAATGAAAAATAAAGTGCCGCAACGACCTTAACAACTTAGGGCCATTGGGCTAAAATTTTAGGCTGGCGCCGCAGTACAGATTGAGGAAATTGTTTTTGAGTCGATATCGGAGTCGATATATATTGCAAAATTATTTCCTAAGATATTAAGATACTAGTACCGCGGGTTATTAGTTGCAACGGTAAACTGGACAACTGAGGTGGAAGAAGTAAAAGCGTTACTAGGACATGCCCATGGAAAAACGAAGTACTGCAGTAGCGTAAATGCAGTCGTGCATAGCTTGAATCAGACTAAAATAGACCAGAAAAATCAAAGAAATAGTTGTTACTGCAACGGGATGTCAAAGGAATTGCAAATGGATAACTATGTACGAAGCTGTAGATCTGCAATAAGCTTAAGAGTTATGCGATTGGGCGTAACACAAATCAAATTCGTTCATTGTATATGAGCACGCTCATGAAAGATGGCACCAAGGCAACTGGGCCGTTTCAACAAAACAACAGCATCTCTGAGACGTAATCAATCAGTGTCACAGGTTCATTTTGAAAATAACTGTGCAAACATAAGAGGATCACTGAGGCAAAGTAGATCGGAGAAATAAAATCACTGGAACCGGATATTAGGTTGGGTGTAGCGCCAGGTAAATTCTCTTACCTCGGATAAGCTGATCAAATTCTGGTAAACTAACGGGGTCATTATAATCTTCCAATGAAAAAATGGTGAAAAATTAAATGGCTGCAAGGAAATAACGGACAGATGAAACGCAATAGCTTGCAGGCAGAGACAATTGGTGCGTACAGGAGACACAGTTTACGTTAGACTCAGTAGCGACTGATTTTTTATTGTGCTGGGAAATGTCTACGCGAAAGAAGGAGTCAATTGGCCAAACATTTTCCTCATAACGGACTAGTTTGCTTCTTCCTAATTGGCCGTAAGCCGACGGCAGCCCTTTTTGCCCATACCGCGTTTCCAAGCACTAAAGCGGCCATCTGCATCGAATGCGTTGCAGCAGTTATATTGCTTGTATACAAATAGTACAGTTCAGCAGGCAGCTGTGTCACATAATTTTATTTCCCTACTATACAGTGTGTCGTTTCACTTTTGAACAAGGATTGATGACGAACCTTACCTATCATTCTGATATCAGTCAAGGTCGTGTTTCTGGTATGGTCGGGAGGGCCTACCTGAATTTTTCGGTGACCACCAATTGCGTCGTCCGACATCTTGTGCTCGATGGGAGTTTACGTTGTAGAGGGGACCATCTAATTTGGTCTCCCGCTGTGGTGATTGCGGCGCGGTCGCCCGCGGATTGTAATGTGAAGTACTCTTCGAAAAAAACAACAATTTAATGCGCGCTATCAGCCTTGCTTAGACTCACAATGCCTCTGCGAAACGTATTTTCATTGAGGTTACGTAGTAGGGTATTAATTGGTATTTGGGTAGTTGTTGGTAACCTAAAAAATACGCTTCTTGCATAAAAAAGCAAAAAACTAACCTGAACCGTTTCAAATTGATTTTAGATCGCACTATGACTTAACCTGCCTTCTCTACACGAACGAAAAAGGATCGAAAACAACGGACTTCGTTCATAGGAACCTGAAAACTTCTTGGAATTCGAAGAATAGATGCCAAAAAAGGATCTAACTCGTCTAGTAGCATTCGTTTAGAAGCAGAATACTAGAATGCCATCCGCGATACTTACAAATAGCATGTCGTTATATGGTGTATAGTGAGCACATATTGACGGTGTTGTTCAATTCCCCTATACGGGGACGTATATTCAAAACTTAATGGAGTGGTGTTGGAAGTGTTCTCCCGCTTTAAGCATGATATTGGCACACGCGTGGGTACGCCGGCTACGGCGTCTGCCGGCCATACTTGCGGTATCTATATTGATGACTTGTCTTCTGTTCCTGGGTCCATCAGGGCCATCAAGTTCTGCACAGGAGTCTCATCTTGCAACAGGAAGACAAAGAGGATTACAGTGGTTACGCAACGATGCTCGACAAAAAGAATACATCGATCGTAAAGGAATACACGTGATAGTTGGACATTATTTGGGCAACGATCTGCCGTGGGATCCTAAAGAGAACATTACGCAAGGTAAGTGCACTGCACGGAATGTTGTTCCGCAGTTACCTTCTATTCTCTAACTTTTAGTAACATATGTTTTTATCTTACTGAAAAATAGGAGTCAGAGGAAGGAAAATAGAAGAGAGTTATGCTTTTAACTCTAACTTGAATCGTACAGCGTACATTTACCACTAATTATTTTCTGCATAGGATTCAAGCACGTTTTTCTGAATTTCTTTAATTGCGTAGCGAATTAAATTTGTCGGCAAGTACCGGGCGCAGGCAAAGAGCTTAACCCAGTCCTTTACAAATAGCCTGTTTGTTGCTATCAGCATAGTTGCAAAACGCTTTGAGAGGGAGATTACATTTAGATGCCTGTTTTTGGTTGCAGTTAGCGCATTCCACGTCTGAAAATCTGAGAAGATTGACTAGGACTATTACGAAAAAGGAGATGTAGAACGGTTTATCTTGTTTATTCTCCTAGCTTTCTAAAATATTCACTCGACTATCACAAGAATAATCGTAAGGTGGACCAATAGTTTGGAGGGTTCTGGGTTCATACACTCCAAACAAGTCACAATGATTCGGTCAGGAGTTTAGGTTAAGGGGGCATATTAACTTTTTGCGCTAGATGACCGGATGAACAGGTTTGCCACCAGGCGAAGGTTCCAGCATTTGTAGAATTTAATGGTTTGGCCGAAAACACCAGCGTTAATAACAACCGGCGTTCCCTGTGAAGCACCTGATTTATGACTGGCATAGCAGCTACGATACGGAATTACGTATAGTAATATGAGGCTCCGCACAAATGGTTGATTTAACTTGAGATAGTTATTTTGTGACTGTAAAATATTCAAGAATAGTCTTTAGTTATGCCACCTCTACTGACAGAATCATTTTAATACAGCAAGATCTATATAACATGTTAAGGAATAATGAGTGAGCCTTCGTTAAGGGCGTCATAAGGCTGGACTGGCAAACGTATAACAGAGTGCAGAAGTAGACATTCTTCGTGAAAATAAAATTGTCTCAGTTATGTAATAATTATTCGATGAGATTATAGCGACTAATACAACACTTTATCCAGTTGATTTTAACCTTAAACGTTTATCAATGTTAATGGCAGCCTTCTCTTACCCTAAAGAAAATCAGGTAATTCTAAGTTAATTTTATATCATAAAGGACGAAAGAGAACGAAAGAAAACCGGTCGTCAGCCACAGGCATCTCTTGTATTACAAATTGTCATCTCAGCATAGGTCGTCGTCATGGTATAGTCTTTGATTTACGGTGACTGGCCATTTCGTTAGTTGAAATGTGCTCCACAGAATGTATATGCTATTCTGCATAGATGCGCAATGGAAATCAACAGCAAAAAAAGACGAACTTTTGAAAAGGGGACTCCCGATTCCAATAATGGTCTAACCATTCGCAGGCCTCTGTTCTAGCAGAGCAACTGGGTCAGGAACTATATGAAACGACAACTTTAGGGATGCGCTGGTACAGGCATCTAGCTGGACAGTTTCAATCAGGAAACGGACCTGTCCTTTAAACTTCAAAGTGAACGTTAATAAGTCAGGGAACTATAATGTGCCAGCCATACGAAAGAAACCAGTCTTCTCCCATCCGACATTATGCCGAGCTATAGCCAAGAAGAGCCTTTGCTAGAAGCTATTTTTCCATTTGATGGCTACCATGTTGAGTGAGTTTAAGGCGGCATAATTTTCCATGATTAGTAGGGGTTAGAGACTAATCATAAAAATGGCGATTTTGTTAGTAGATTTTCATTAGCTTTTTTAGCTTTGTTGAGCCTGGACTAACCTAACGAAAGTTTTGCCCAAACTTCACCACAAATTGTTCATGCCTGAAGTTTATGCTAATTTCATACTTCAATTCGGGTGACTTTCACTTTATTACGTTTGGAAAAAGTAAATAAAGTTAAGCCTCAAGGTGCTTTACAAAAACTTTAGTTTAACATGGTGTGAAATTCAAAGTTTAATATATACTTCAAATCAAAGCTTTTATTGTTTTCTTGCTGTTACAGAACTGTTAAATGCAAATAGTTATAATCCAGTAGAGGGTGCAGGTGAGCAGGGTCAGCCAGTTTATCCTGTTGGACCTGAAGTAATAAAGGCTAAAATGCTATATTCTATTAACAGGTAAGCAATGTAAGAATATGTACAATTTCCCTTTATGAACAAACACGAATGTTTCTAATATTTTTTTTTCGGAAGATCTAAACGGACACACAATTGACCAAGCGCATGTAGCATAAAAAACGTGCTGAACATATCCGAGAATATTAAAATAATCTTAGGATGGATCACTCTTAGCTTGGCTAGAGATTTAGCTAAGTAGATGGTAAAAGACTCGTTGTTAAACAAACTGAAAAACAGAAAACAGATGGATTCTAAGAAGTCATCTTGAAGTTTTTGCTTGCTTACGGAAGCTGTTCAACTATTATAAACTAACCATTGCAGCTTTTCAATTATCATTGAAGTCAATCTGATAACTGAAAAAATTAAAGGCATTCAGTTTTACTATTATGGTGAGAAGGGCGTTATATATAATTGTAAAAAAATGAGTAGGTATGATAAAATAAACAATATGAAGAAAACGTACTACGTATAAAGGGCTATGCAGTTGATGCGAAGACATTTTGTTTAGCCTTTACTTATTTTCAGAAGAGCCTGCATACATCATAGAAGTGCCAATTGTGAGATATGCAGTCGTGTTCTTCAAACAATTGTCCGAAGCGCAGGCACCTTTAGATGCCTCACAATTTGCAACTATGCGTATGCAGATTTCTCTGTGTACGAATGAATTTTATGATAACACAAGGTGCCTGTGCATGATGAAAGGCTACTTTGCTAGTAGAAAATAGATGCAAATCAATCAGATATTTTCAATAAGTACCGAAAAATAGTATTATTTGAAGACTTTTCTTTGAAGACCAAACACATCTTCCACTATTATTGATGTAATCCAGAAAAGTAGAAGATTTCTAGTTGAATAATCGCGCATATGCCAAACTAATCATACTTTCGTGCTACTGGAATATTTTCTTTTCTATAAAAAGCCCTCCTGTAAGCAACAAAGCTGTTAGTACTACTCGTGCTACTTACCCTCCATGAAATTCGGCGGATGATATCAGCGTGCTGAATGGACTAAATAGTTACGTCAGTGAAGCGCGAAGCTATTACTTATTTTTTACTTCTATCCGAAGCCACTGCTTCGTTTTACTTCTTTTGTAAAAATAATAATTTCGATTTTTCCTTATTTACCCTTTATATTTTAGCTAATATCGCAAGGTATACGCAGGCTATGGAAAAATATAGACGTCATACTTCAGTGCAGTAAATATGAGAGTATAAATTCTTTGATGACATTTTTCATGGGTTTCACAATGAGATTTGACTCAATGCGCTATCAATGATTATAGCTAAGGAAAAGATATATTCGATGTATTTGTTTAGCATAATGTGCTTGGCAATCTACCATCAACACGTTCCAAGTTTACAGACTTTTATCGGAAGAATTGTATTTATAGTATACAACATAATCGAACCAACTTTGTTTTACGTATATATACACATTCGACGATGTCCGGACGATGGACGACCGTAAATTTGGCGGTCCATTTGCAAAAAAGTAAAGTCGTTGGTGCGTCGCAAATGATGGGAACTGGCGGGCAACCTTTTTTCGATTATTTTTTCTTCTGTTATTAGTATCCTTAAATACGAAAAATATCAGAGTATCCATTGCTGGTGGCCGACACTTGGTACTTCTCAAGTTTTCAGTACCCTAAAATGGATCGTACATAACAAGCTTTGTCATCACTTATTTGATACTGGATCAGACATAGTGGGCACACCTAGCTCTTGTAATTAATCAATCTTCGCAGTAACCTAGTTCAAAAAGAGTTTTCAGGAGCAGCCGGATGAGTCGACGCATTTCTTAAATCATCTCTACTTCAGAATCGATGTGTGCTCGCCTAATTTCCATGCGCCTGAGAATTATTTAAGCATTTAATTAGTGAAACAATTTTCCTCCCTTTTAGATAAATATCCCGTAGTGTTTCTTTTTCGATTGGGTATTCTCTTCTTCTTGTTACCTTACCTAAATATCACTAACACATGTACGGGTGTTTAATTTCTATATTTTTACCAAAATTTATTATCGCCCTATTTACTTAAATGTTGGATAACTTGTTTTTGCCGTATATCTTTGTCGCAGTTCTTCCGCCTTTTTTAGCGTGTTATTAAGCCTAATACCTATGGCGGACGGTCTAATATACTGGCGGGCGGACTTGATACGCGCTCATATACAATCCTCCAATTACGAATGTAACTGGCTTTTTTGTTTGCGCATATGTTTGCAACGAAAAGGTAAACTCCGTGTTTCACCGACGCGGCTCTTTTAGACTTCCCCAATTGAGCAATAGTGACCTTATAAAACAGGCACAAACTCAATGTGCAACAGAGACCGCTATCATTCTGGGTGCATAGTATTAAGAATTTATCATTTATAGAGGATTACATTGAAGATGTACTAAAATATGGTTGTGTGTTAAGTTTATGCAGGTAATCATAAGTGTTTGAAGATCTCCATGATTGGCGCCGTAACAATAGTTTTAGCTCTTTTCTATCTCACCTATCTAATATTATGGGAACCGGCTCCACTTGACCCACATTGGAAACTCTGTGCCCATTTTTTAGTTCTCCGTTTATTATTGTTTGCGACTGTGTATCAACAGAGAACTGAATTATCGCGCTCAGTTGTTCATCACTTAAATCATGACAAAAATATTGCATATTAGATTTAAATAGCAGCGAGGCTTGACTGACCTCTTCCAATTTTTTTCTAACAAGAAATAATTGTCGGCCATAAAGCAAAAATGGTTTGTAAAGAAATATCTCGTGCATTTTTTTGCTTTCCCTTCAATCACTAATGCTGCTCTACCGTAAAGAGCGTAGTTTCGCGTGCTACTTAATCATTAATTAAAATGCTATGGGACATTGTTTAGAAATATGTGGGATAAGGTGACAGATAATCTTTATAAAAAAACCTTTTCCTCAAATTGTCAATGACAATGATCTCTAAGAAGATCGTTAGAGTTGTTCTTCGCACCTAAATATTTTTTTGCACTCATTTTCTTGTTTTTTTTTTCAATTCAATATTTTCATATTTATCGCACAACGATGTAGACATATCAAGTAAGTTTTCGATATATAGAAAACATAATTTAACAATGCTTTTAAGCGACTCTTTTTGGTTGCAGTGCTCTAGTAATTTCCGTTATTTACTTAAGCCATTTTTTTTTCGTTTACAAATTCACAGGATTTGATTTTTGCTGCAAGAATTTCAATTCATATTAAATCGACAACCTTTGACACTGCTGAAATGTTCCTTCATACTATTTCCAACGATGATAAGTAAGTGCTTCATTTTGATCTTCGGGAACGCCAGGTGTATCAGAGGGAATTGTATGTATAGTCTTCTGCCAGTTTAAAGCAGTAGATTCCGAGAACCCCATTACCAGTCTTATAGATAAGAAAGCATAGCTTGTTATTTTGTAGTAATATTGTTTGGTATATAGGGATGTTCAAATATTGCTTGATTAAACTTATTATCTAAATATTTTCTATAAGGGATATCGGTCAGTGAAGATCTTCTGAATAATCGCTGCCCCAAAATCGGCGCAAAGTCCTACTGTGTTACAAAATTTATTTAAATGGAATGGACTGAGCTTATTGGGAAGATATTATAAATGTTTGAATATCTTGAACTATTGTACATTTTCAAGTTTTCCCAATTTAGAGAATACACTCTTTGGTTTGCCCTAGTAGCTTGGTATGGGTTTAGTGCTATCCAGAGCTGCGGAGCAGTGGTAGACGAATCTCAGTGTTGACATTTGTTCAGAATGTTGTCAAGCAGCCATTGTTGATCCTAAATTTGATATTTTGTAACGCTATCGTTTAAGTCAATAACTCTTAGTATCTAACAATGGAAACCGATTTCGTCATGGTAGCGTAAAGACGGACCAGATATCTGGTAGTTCGGAAGCTAATAGTGTTTATTTAACGTAACGTAGAAAAACGCAGTGTTTTACCTAAATGCAGCGACAAACTAATATATCATGTTTTTACAATCTCTTTACAATCTTTTTCCAGCAAACTAACATTTTATTTATGGCCAGAGGTTTTCGAGTCCAGTATTGAAAAATTTATTTAGCCCATCTTTTAGACCCTCTATGTTATCAAGAAAGAGTAGTGAACCGTCGGAGCAAATTTATCATGGAGGCAATAAGGCACCCGCCTAAGCTCTTTTAAAGTGACCTTAACAATCGCTGCCATGGTCCAATATTTATTGCGGATAAATATGATTTGACTTTGTCGATCTGAACTATTCTGATGAACAGCCTCGTCAATTTGATGCAAGTAGATAACATACAGACTTAGCAAACAAAAATGACGGTTCTCCACGGATGAAGATCTGATTCAACTTTAGGCTCAGCCCCCTCCCTTAGAAAGTACTTTTCAGAGCTACCTGTTCCCTTCTCTGGTTCATATAGGCGTCAAATAAGCGACCGAAGTGCATTTTCCAAGATGTCGTCATATTTAGCAACCAGCGTTGAATAATCCTTTTGGGTGTGAAATTCACGTATCCTAGACTATATACGCAGTGTTTATATTTCGATAAATAGGACAACTATATTAGGTGTCGAAAACGCTCACTGTAGAGAGAAACTATGGGGTAGAAGGGATAGAATTCAAGTTGTTTTTATACGTAAACAAATCGCAGAAAACAAATAAAGGGTCAAACGGGCATATATATATAAAATAAAAGCAGAACAGTCCAACAGTTCTGATTACCCCCTCTTTAAATGCACATTAAGTTTACCATACCTGTGCACACAAGCCGTTCAACCATCGTGTGTCGCCATTTGTATATCTGCAGGGCTTAAAACTGAGACATAAGTTCTCAATAGTGGTAAAACCCAGAGTATACGATTATTTCTACGTATAATAAAGGACCTTTATCCGTGTTTGCATGGACTGAAGTTAATCGATGAATATTTGGAACAGAACTTCTTTATGAATATTCTAACCGTATTTATTATTTTAGGTTATGTTCAAATGTATTTAATCAAATGAGGAGGTTATCATACGTTATTGTTTTTGCAGGCCAAGGGTAACATTAACATGTCCCTTCCTGTTGCAATTGTATAGTGCAATGCGGGTGTTTAAACCTGAATCCGCTCTTCCCTATTGCAACGGTAACTTAGTGCGGATCTATTCGGTTAAATTGTCAACTAAATTTAAGTTAATATATCGTTTCAAGTGTCGTTTACTGAAAAAGTCCTTTATTAATTCTATGTATAGTTCTTAAGTTATTTACTAATGATGTCTTTACAAATAATTGCAAGGGCTACGTTAACTTTGAAATTATTAATCGAAGTTGACGGTTCGTCTAGTCCATATTGCAATGCCCCAAAACGTCACTTTGTTAATACTATAGCTATTTTACATGCAGTGTTAAGCTTTGCCTTTCCGGCTTCGCACAAAATCAGCTATTGTTTGTTTTTCTCCAAGGGGCATTGTCTTTATTGCACTCACGGTATATACTTAGAACTGGTTGCTTATACTATATCGAGCTGCGGGATGCGACCACGTTTATATTATTACACAGTCAAACCCTTTGGATGGGTAACTTTTGTCCATGACCTGGGTGTCAGATGAGGTTCAAATGTTAGATCTAATTCTTCTCAGATAGTAGACCAAGCCTTAATAACGATGCGAAGATCGTACTACTGGTCAGATATTTGTAGTCAATGCCCAGCCTTGCTGTGCGATCCTTGTCTTCTACGAAAATTAACAAAAAAAACTCAACAGGTGGCCAAGCACCGCTTCAACAACCGTCAAGAAATGTGGTAGCGACGCCTCCGGGAAGTACTTTGCAAATGCCGCATACTCAATATGCGTTGGAAACGAGTTGAAATTATGTTAGAGACCAGCCCGGTCATCAGTGAATACTTTATTAAAGTAAAACAATGTTGAAGCCATTCTACAGCGAGCATAAAAGGATACCGGATTTTTTCCTGCCATTTTTGGGAGTCGGTCGAGAAATTATTTTTGATTGTCTCTCACGTATCCTTCAGCCGAACCTCGGCGCCTCTGTCCGATACGGTAACAAAGCGATTTGCCATGCTAACCGATTTGGCTAACTGCTACATATAAATCCGTACGGACAATCTGAGGCTGGCGCCTCAGAGGGAGACCCTAATACTCACATATTGAGCTAGCTCTACCGCTAACACTCATCTGTGATGCAAAGCAATTAACGAGTAATGCTGACAATGGCAGTATGTACACCTAATAACGTAAATACCTGTCAATCTTAAGTCTTTTTCGTACCAGTTGCGAGCCATCTAACTAAATTAGACTTTCAGTATTTAGGATTTTGTAGAAACAATATTAACCTACAACTCTACTTTGTTGATAATTCAACTCGTCTTAAGACATTATTGCTCTGAGAAGATTGCGTTATCACTAACACCAATATAAAAGTTGAGGCGTGTGTAATTTGGCAATTGGTGGAAACAGCACAAGTGGCAAAAATGCAAAAGAAAGGAGCATGAATCAATTGGTAGGGTGACAAGAGCGTCGTCTAAGAGCTATTAAAGTGTTTTATTGCAGCCAAGAAATATTTGCTGGGACACCTAGTTATAACACCACATAAGTTATAGACTGCACTGGAAAAACAAGATGATTTATTCTTAGACAACTTCCATCATTTTGACCTGTAGACTGGATAGGAAGAAACACTAGGAACACAGATATTTCAAATTTAAGTATAATTTATATGTACATATGGTACGACGGAAGAGCCAGAGATTATTTGCTGGTCACTTTTAATACAACAGCTTGTTAGTCACAATTCTCGTTAATTCCCCCTGAATACTTCTTAAATCCTGTATTTTTTTAGTTCTCAATTGCAATAATTATTTAAATACATAAAACGTGTAAATATGCAGCGTCTCGGTTGGTACTGAATAAAAATTCCTTGTATTGTTTTTCAGCTTCAACTTACTGGTATCGGACAAGATTTCGGTAGAAAGATCACTTCCTGACATGCGAAAACCAAGGTGAGACTAATGCTAATGGTATGGGTTAAATGAAACAATATTTTACGATAGTGCTTTGTTTCTCAAGAGCCCTTAAAAAGCTTTGCCTGCGAAAGATACTGGGTGTGCTTGAGCTTGGGCACCATGATGATAATAATCATGAAGGTGCCTTGAACGCTCTCGACAGGATCAGAAACAATTATCTACTATTCTCCCTGATCGAGTTGCGTTAATCTGGTTTTCCCTGATACGTCGTTTAAACAGATTCAAGTACTAAATCATTTTAGTCATCAGCCCTGTCTCTGCAATGGTGCAGTAATAGCGTCCTTACCTCGAGCTCAAACAAACTCTAGACGCTGAAACCCTGTTTTTTGCTCAGGAAGTGAATCGTCTAATGAGCTACTTAGTAATCGTAATAGAAATATGCAGTTATAAGCCAGGCAAATCTCATGTCTATCCAATTGTTTTCGACTTTTATGATTTGCACTATGCCCTTTAGTCTACAATAGAATTTACCTCATTTCGTGATTTACCAGTTCGTGATCAAGGGAGCGGAAATTGTTAGAACCGACATTACCATTTCTTCATAGATCAAATAGACGGAACAAAAATTGCCATAAGTCGTTTCTCCCTGCCGGCAGAGATACCGCTCCTCTGTTGATAACGGAAACATGGGAATCAGTATTTCATAGGTAGCTAACACTCTGTCAGAATAAGAATAAAAAGTTTTGCCTCCATTTACTTTGTATATAATTTATGATTTTTACCTAGGTGACCAAACCATAGTTCGTAGCTTAGAGAGAAACGAGTCAATTATGAGAGTACAAAAAGATGGTTTGGAAGCCGTTAGCGAGCGAACCCTTACCTGTTAATCAGCCACACGTTGTTGTAAAAATAGGGAACTATTCTCGGATTCTGTTAGCTGGTGGATTCTTATCTTATGCTAACCGTCTGAGACAATGCCTAGCCCCATATGTAATAAACGTAAACATTTATTTTCCACTGATTAGTGCCTCAGTCCTTTCTTTTTATTTCTGCAACGTTGTGTGCGCGTGTCTGTCTTGTTGTCGCGATTGGCGGCAAAGCGTGAAGCTTATGAAGCTAAAATATTTCTAAGGCACAGCTACTTCTTCCGCTACTACTACACAGCCATGATGACTTTGAGTACTTGACAAGATGTCTTACAACGGCAAAAGACCGTATCAAATTCACTCACTTTCACTAAGGACTGCAAAGCAGTTACAAAGTTATCAGTACAGTCTCTGAAACTGCTCTCCAACCCATTGTTCGAAAGACTACGACGAAAATCCCCACGTGACAATCTTTCAAGGTGCATAACCACTGATGTGTGACGCCGAAGTGCATTATGTTTTCGACCTAAATATTATCTCATAGCTGTTAAAAGACCTTCGCGTACACCGTGTTCATGTGCAGGCAATTCCATTAGAAGATTATTGATGCCTTTTTTTAGAAGGCTTCAGCGATGCTGTTTGTGGTCGGTCGGGTTCAGCACAGCTTTGTCTATCTAGCGTGGACCGGTGAATGCAGAACTTCGTCCCGATGAATGGACTTCGTTCCACCAAGGCCACAATCCATTAGTTCTGAATTGCTCTCTTACACGTCACTCTAACAGTCAGGCTTTTTAGTTAATAGTAATACAAACTTTTCAGAAGGAGTACTGGGTCATTAGGCCGGGGTTTTCTCGGTTGGGTTCTCCACCACGCCAGACGAGCTATCTAGCAGCCGGAAAAGTTATTGTCCCTCTGTTTACCATGCGAAACCAATTTTTGAGCATCGTTAATCTCTATAAATCTAGTAAACCTAACGCTGAAGAGCTTTCTCTTCTTGAATCCACTTTCTTTATTCCAGCTCCCTCTAGGCAGCCATGTCCTTTTTGAAGAACCGAACTGCGTTTATGAAAGCGGCTACAAGTCCAGGCTTGGTGTAACCGTTTCTTATGCATCATCTCAATCTAGAACGATAGGCGAATGTGTGATGATGGGTATCCCCGGAGCGCTTCAAAGCATAGCTTGGAAGTATGATGGGGCATTCCCTATCCGATATAGACAGTTCTGAGACAATCTGGTGAGGAACTGCATAGGTAGAGGATAAGTTCCCTCCTTCTCTTTATGTCCATAGTCTAACGTTTGGTTTTATGTTCCTGACACTGGGTAAACTGGGGAATGGCAGACCATTCGCTCTGCTATTCGTGTGGTATTTGTTTCTAACAGATCCACTAATAAGCGTGCCCATATTACTTCTCTTCTTTGCGTTTAGATCCCAGGGAGTCGATCTGAGCTTTGCAAAGAACCTAACTGCCCAAAATGTAAGCCCATTTAACTAGAAATATCCTTTCATTCTAGTTGTCGAAACCACACATTGTCAGGATTGATATTATCAGACCTCCCAGATACATCGATAATCATCGTATTCCACAACGAAGCATGGTCGACTCTACTCCGGACGGTTCATTCAATCATCAATCGATCACCTAGAGAAATCGTTCGGGAGATTATCCTTGTCGACGACGCCAGTGAGCGAGGTAATCAAAAACTATGGAGATTGGTTAAGTTTACGCAGTTTTTGAAGGAGCTTTGCTTTTAAACATTTATTCTATCGCTGGCGTGGATCTAAATAAAGAACAAAGAGAGTGTGCAAGTGTTTCATGGAATTATATCTTTAACAGATAATGGCTTAATCGAACATTTTACGTATGAATAACAGCAAAATGGGATTTCCCATGTATAAATATATGTAAATTTTTTAGCATTGGGACTATACAGTGTCCTCAAATTACCTTGCGTATCTCCTAGTCACTTGTCACTGGCGCATAAAGACTTCCGTCGTTACCTTGAGCTCTAAACAACGGGAGCCTTCAAAACGAACCCTAAAAACTGGGACCAAAGGATTGATGATGATTTGTGTGCTTTGGGTGCAATGAATAATGATGACTGAAAAGGAACGAACCGAGTAAACAGACTTGTCACTCCGGTTTCGTTGTACAAATTCTAAAATTCTAAAAACGGTATGTCTGCCAAGAGTTCGGTTTACAAGCACAATGGCAAAACAAACGGGAGAAGTACACAAGGATTATTGTGACAGAAGGGTGACGAGAAGGCAACGGAATAGGGTGGTAACTATTGTTTTCTTATAGGCCATTGCTTAATAACTAGATAGTTGGCGCTAATTCTATTTTGTAGGCAATGCTGACACACATGCCCTCATCATGAATTGGTCAGTGTAATTTGAGTGATTTCTGGTGTATTTTTGCAGAGTTTTTGAAGCATTCCCTTGATACCTATGTTGCATCGCTTAATTTTCCTATAAAGGTAAGTGTGTGTGTGTATATATATATATATATATATATATAGAGAGAGAGAGAGAGAGAGAGAGGAAGAGAGAGAGAGAGTGAGGAAGAGAGAGAGAGAGATATATTATTCTATTTTTACTACTCCAAACGAAGACGGACAGAATTCTGTCAGTTTAAATAAAATGAAATCTCCGTTTGTCGTTGACGATTACCTCAATCTCTTACTCGGAGATCGGAAAATTTAAATCTTCCATAGTATTTATAAAATTATAACTTTCATATTAAAGGTGGTTAGGTCTCCGCGTCGGATTGGCTTGACTAGAGCACGTTTACTAGGGGCTCGAATTGCCGAAGGCCGCGTGCTTACTTTTCTCGATGCTCACTGCGAATGTACTTATGGCTGGTTAGAACCTCTTCTCGAAAGAATAGCTCAAGACAGGTGAGCCTCGTTTGAATCAGCACCTATTCTGGTTACTATCGACGATCATTTCTCGCCTCAGCGCCAGTTTGAAATATGTATTTCCGCTAATATCTTAGGTTATGCACGGAACTAGTTTGCGCAATCACGAGTATAGGTCCTATTATTGTAGAAAAATGTGAAGTATTACCCAGTTACCATCACCAGTTATATCTCACCGATCTTGTAATGATGTAATTAACATAGGGGACAGGGAATTTGAGTAGGTTGTCTAAATTTACGGTACTTTTTCCCAATGCTGAACTTGCGGTTTTTTCGAATATACGTTTGTCATAGATGCATTACTATCTGTTGAGGTTTGTGATAACTAGTCTTATTCTAGCGGTGGTGTACTGATACTGTATCTGCATGCAAAACCTAAAAACAAGTGAAGTGGCCTAAATTTGGAACCGGTGTTGACAAACTTTATTTTATGGTGGAAGTTAGCCATATAAAGCAGTGCTCAACAGTAATACCAAACTTTAAACTAGAAACATTTTTCGAAATATATGGTGCAGACCATTTCAAAACTCGTTCAGTACCCAACATTCACTTGGTATTCTAACGACCGCTTAATAATACATAACACGACGATTCGTTAATGGTCTCCATTTTCATACAGTGACGCAAAAGTGTTTTTCGTCTGGGAAGAAGCTGTCAATTTTGACAACTACAATTACTCGAGTCTGGGCAATTCAAATCCTTCCTTTACTCGGCATTCCGACCCAACGAAACGATATTCTCACGTTTTCTTTTACAAAGCAGCCTATTAAGATCCTTTAATACTGCTTTCAGGCTATACCAAAAAGACCGACCCACAGCGTGGATACAATGAAGGAACGCTTGACCACCTAGCGATAAAGCAAATTCAAGAAGACTATAAAAATAATACCCCACAACCCTTTACTACGCGCCTAAGCTACGTTCGATGAATCTATGCAAGTTACGAGTTCCCTTCGTCTAGGAAATTAAAGATTGTATTTTTTTCCCCAACGTTGGCAACAGTTTGTTTTGCTTAACTTCAGTATAAGTTTCCCTACCTTAGATTGTGTTATTTATTCTATTGTTGCAGATCACGAGTGGTGTGTCCAGTTATCGATATAATTCATGACGACACGTTCGCTTATATCAAGACCTTCGAATTATTGTGGGGTGCCATCAATTGGGAACTGCACTTTAGGTACAGCGGTAGTGATTCGAGAACCATTTAATTTTTTAGAGTGTACAGGATAAATTTAATTTTGTTCAGTAATGCACAATGACGCAGTCTTAGTATGTAATATTCATAAAAGTCAATTCAAGTTATTCTAGGCAAGTACTAAAATTCGCATTAGGATTAATAATCCATACTTATTAGGGCGTTACTATAAAACAATCGAAACCCAGGGTGGAACACCTTGCACAATTCGCGTCATTATATGAAATTGTGCCCTAATAAAAAAAAAAAGAAAAGTTGGCAAATGTACTATTTGTTAAATATATGCATAAATTAAAATAAGAATGATATCAATTTGACTTCTTTTGATCTGCGTGAATCTCCAGATGGTACCCGGTAGGTCACTCGGTTAGCGCCAAACGACGCGTTAGTCCGTCTGAACCATTCAAGACACCTATAATGGCTGGTGGCCTCTTTGCTATAGATCGCGACTATTTTTACGAAATGGGAGCCTACGACGAACAGCTGGACGTCTGGGGAGGCGAAAATGTTGAGATGTCTATTCGGGTAAGTAAAGTGTTTACTGCTAATTTTAGACCCTTGTGATGGCTCTTGATAATTAAGTCGTATTTCAGAAGTCACAGTGACATGCAAATGAGTTGTGAAATGGATGTGATGACTCCCGCAGCGTTTATAGAAAGCTACGAGAATTTATTCTTTAATCACATGTTTCTACAAATACGGCAGTATTTTATTCTATATTTAGATATGGCAGTGCGGCGGTTCTCTGGAGATTGTTCCCTGCTCCCGTGTAGGCCACGTGTTCCGTCGTAGTTCGCCTTACACGTTTCCTGGTGGTCGCGGAGTAGGTGGAGTCCTTTATCAGAACCTAGCACGAGTAGCTGAGGTTTGGATGGACGAGTGGAAGGAGTTGTACTTCAATCTTAATCTGGGTAAGCACACAAACAGGAGTATTGGGAACTTAATGGATGCTGCATTGTTTTTCAGTTACATAGTTACGTGCAAGGCGAACGCCTAAAGAGTGCGCATATTCGCTTCCTTGTATAATTACATTTTTTATTTATGCATTACTGCGACTAGAGGATGTTTCTAGACTTCTACATTGTTGAGACTTGTTATTTATCAATCAACGCGGTATAATTATAAAGCGTATGTTCTCTGAAGCCTATTACTTAGAAGCGCTATGTGTATACGCATTTGAAACAGATTCGGCTCACGTGACATTAAGCAAAAGTATCAAACGAGCCTTTCTACGTTTCACGAAGGGTTCTTCCATCCAAATGGCGCAGGAAAGGGCCGATTAGAAACAGAGGCTCTAACTTTTGACTAACCAGAAAGTGAACTTAATCAAGATATATCCCTAATTCTTGGTTTGGATATTTATTATCATAAATTTTCAGTTTTTCACAACGTGGCGTTTGTAAAACCTATTTGAAACTAGCGCTAAGTAACTAACATAACTGTAAATCGACTGGTGCTGGTTACTTCTTACAGAGGCTCGAAAGGTCCGTCCTACAATGGATGTGAGTTCCCGGAAAGCTTTACGGGAGCGCCTACATTGCAAATCATTTGCTTGGTATCTAAAAAATGTTTGGCCGGAAAACTTCTTTCCAGGACATGACCGATTCTTTGGAAAGGTATGATTTCACAGTACACGCGTAAACCTAATAAGATGCTGAATCATCGTCGTCGGAACTGAATTGTTTTAAAAGCATAATATTATGCTTTGCTTTTTATACAGTTATTTGGCAGAGAAAATGAGCAACGAGGAAGTAACATATCTCAATTTAATAATCATAATCTACTTAAGGTATGTAAGAGTCGCTTTTCTTGATGTCTGGACCCATCGTATTTTTACTGACTCTGCTTGTTGAGTTACCGAGCAGGGAGAAAAAATAACAGGCTATAAACATCTATTATGAGAGACTCTTTTTTACGAAAGTAGTCAAACTTTGCATCGCTAAAACCTACGAGGGGGTAACTTAGAAGCAGTCTCCGATGGCTCACTATGGTACACGTACGCTTTCCGGAATTAAGTTCCGGATGCCTAACAAAGACGACTACCAGAGTCTCCAGAAGTTGTGTGGCGCCAGACATACACCCATAAAGGCAAAAGTAGCGTTAAGCCTATTACAGAAGCTTAGCAGTATAGGCTATAGAGATTGCAATATCTTACTAGCTACTGACTGTTTTAAATTTAGCCCAATAGAGTAAGAAGATGAAAGAGCATTCTTAGACACTATGTTGTCACTTTTGGGGACGGGTACCTATGGTTTACAGAGCGTACTCATTGGAACCACAGAAATTAAAAGCGGCTTAAAACTGGACATGCTATATGCAGAGCGTGAACGTTTAGGAAGATGGTAACAAAATTTGTTGCAGCTTAGTGGATAAATTATTTCAGAGATGGCCCACTGCAGGAAAAACGTAAATGGTGGAAAAACATAAACAAGTGGCTGTGCAAAGTTGGGTTCTTGCAATGGATTACATTGTAGCGAGACAATTCCGTATTGACAGTACCCGTCCGATTTCCCGATATCAAAACCCGTTCATAGCCCTACAAAATCAATTTTTTCCCTGCAAAAAAGTGAGTTTGGCCGCCGCCGCCGCATCCGAGCAACAACAGGACAAGATGTTGTCTATTGATAACACCGGTCGGCTCTTTTCTTAAATTATTTCTGAGTCTCAATATCTACCTTCAATCAAACTAGTTAACGGAGTCGCCTGTGGAAAGATAATTAATTCTACGAGTTCATGCGAGCATAGTTGCAGGCTTCGAGTAAATTAAATCACTCGAAGATATATATATTGACATTGTACCGACAGTGAACCACTCAAACGAAATAGCATAAGTGCACCGACTACCGGTTGAATTACGAAACGGACTGAAAATCTGATAGACTGGCCCCTGATAAAGACAGACGAAGTTATCAAAGGATGCATATGCTTGTCTACACTTAACCTGCTCAGCAGTTCCTGACACGAGTAACTTCTCCACCCGCAGCCTTCTAGGAGCGAAAAACTAAGGAAACTACATGCAACCCAACTTTCATGCTGAATCGTTCGTTTCAGCCCCAAATTTACCAGCATGCTCCAGATATGGGATCCCGATATCCGAGATCCAGATATGCGAACGACAGTGGCAATACCGCTGCTTCAGGTGAACAGATATTAGCTGACCTCAGGGGATTTTCACTGTTCACGTTGAGTGTCCCAGGTTCAGTAGAGAGTCAGAATCTCCATTTAGAAATTAGCCACAGCGTTGTGATAAATTCCTTTAAGGCAAAATAACACAGGAATCGAATCCATCGGCGACCATCAGCACGAAGCACGCATATCCACTGTTGTTTTAGCTGCTGCGGAGGAGAGATGCAGAGAGAGAAGGATCTGTGAATGATTCAGCAAAATAGATGCTATCAGAGCAGCGGATGAAACAGCCCATGCACTCCATGCACGTGAAGTTTGCAGAGCTAAAACTGGAAATCCTTCGTGGTGCTAATTGTTGCTATAGAATATGATAGTCAGTATGCGATAGCGTGTGCAAATCGCCAAGACACAAACACGCCGACTTCAGTATTAAATAAAGTCTTTGAAAATTTGGGGTTATCAATTCACGTGGTGGCGTTTAAGAACAAACAGTTACGTAATGGGAAGCGACAGATCTGTATTCTATTCGATATACGGCGCTCCAGAAGAACAACTACAACATATTAGAATCTATAATAAGGATACAGTTGTTTGAACAAGAAATGCCTGCCTTGACACCCGTTTTTTTAATAACATGCGGCGCTGCCTAAGCACGATTTCAGGATAAATAGCTAACTATGCTTTACATATAGCATTGTCCTCGTCGTTTCAGATCCGACACCAGTCAAGTGCACAATGCATGGGCCGTCCCATCTCAAAAAGCTACTACCAACCAGTCGGCAAACTTCGCCTAGAAGAGTGCGCTGTAACCCCATATTCACGTCAGCTTTTCACTTTAACTGCTGAAGGATTTCTTATGAGCGACGAAAGCATCTGTTTGGATTCTCCAGAAAGTACTGCTGATACATCCGTTGTTATGATAGCCTGCCAGGGCATTGGCCGCCAGAAATGGTCGTACGAACCTAAGGTAGGTTAGCATTAATAGGAGCACTGTTTATCAGCGCCACAATTATATGCTACTTTTCAAGCCCTGCACTTGAACATTTTGACCCTCTAAAGCTATCTGACAGCTATGCTAACATCGTAAAATTTTTGAATTTGCAGAGTGGAAGATTAATCCATATTAGAAGCCGATTATGTTTGGATCTGCCCTCAAAATCAAGCCCTGACGGCTTGACCCTTCAAAAATGTGCGGGTCGAAAAAACCAACGCTGGGTTATGGAACAGGCCAATTGGAACCGACCTGATTACTGATGATTGAATCGATCCCAATGATATTACAGCCTCTTGTGAACCACGATTAATCAGTCATACTCATCATTGCCACATCGACAATAAGCCCCCCATTCCCGTAGATCGTTAGTGTTTTAAAACGCTTTTGTAAAGACTCACCAAAAACATTATTAACACTGCTATTATTATTATTGAAAGTAGCCAGTAAATTTGCCGCTATACCTGTACTGTCTCAGATATCGCTAAAGGTCATATGGCCACATGTCCGCAAAGGGAGATGCAACAACGAAAAACAACATGCGGGCCCGTCCTCGCATATAGTATACTTACTGCCTGTACTAGCAATTTAGTATACAAAATCAATTTGAAGGATTTGATCTTAAAGTACTAGACACCTTTGCGCAAAAAGAGTTTAGTAAGGTCGTTTTAGAATTGGGCCTATCCCGTGCTTTATTTTAAAAATAAACGTTTTTAGTCAGTTGTCCAATGATGCTCTTTGCTGTATACATGCGAAAGAATTACCTTGAAGAAAAGGATCCAATTGTTCTTCTACCGAGGAAGATCCACCCTGAGCAAAGCGTTCTATGGGCTTGTGTACATCTGTGGGCATACATACCATGTTTACAATGGGATGTATACCAGACCTACTAAGGTATCATAAATCCTGACGCGTTGTGTGTTGGGTAACAACTATAATTATGTTGACATTCCCTAGCCCAGATGAGTTGCTTTCTCAAGGTGCTATCAATATTTGGTTTTAAGATGTATACCTTTGATATACCTGTGATAGCGGAGTGTTGCAGATCGCGGAGGTACTCGTAATTACAACTACTCTCACGAGTATTTAGGCTCTAAATATTGTGTGCTTAGTCAACTACCTTTCCTAGCTTTTTTCAGGCTTTGATTTATTACTTTCGAATAGGGCACTATGCAGCACGCCACGGTAACTATTAATATAGTTTTTCTCAACAGCAACTGAATAACACCTTATTTTTGAGCTTTGTGTGTATAAGGCCTTAGTCATTATACTATGCACAATACCGTTTACTTGTATGATTGATTGTCACATAGAATTCGAAAATGTAATTTATGAAAGGTAGAGATATTCGAGCTGCAAAAGCTCACATCTTTATATACTTTGAATTGCAAATGGCAGCACAATGCAAGAGTAGAGGTATCTTTAACTCGGAACGTTTTCTTCATAACAATGAAGTAATGCCCAGAGCCCTCGAAAAAGTGGGGCCGTGACAGTGTTACTAATGTTATCACAAAGACCATAAAGACCAGAGTATAATGTTCGATAACGCTTCGGCCAAACACTATGATCTAATTCTGCAGAATCGCTTTTTTAACTCTATATCTAAGAACAAAAGCAAACACATTCTGGGAAATAAACATCCCCACATAAGACGTTTGAAGTTATTTTATTGATCAAATCAACTGACTGGATTAATATAGCTAAACACCCGTGTTGCCAGTACACAGTTCAAAATATCAAAACATACTGTTACTGGGTCTTAAATAATATAATGGCTTGAAATAAATGGAATGTGCCAACAGACGTTCACTTTTGTGGGACATAACGAATATACCTCTAAACAAATTAGTAAATATATAAATACGCGTATACACTTATCGTATGCATGTACCTTTATCGCTGTGAATCATACGTTTCGACAAATCGTCCTAGAAATGGAGGCTAAATAGTAAAATTCGGGATGTATATCAGCTAGAAGCCTGAAACCCAACTGGACATTCGAGTCCAGTAGGGTTTCGGGCTGCGTTTCTGGGGTGGGATGGGGGGGACGGAGAGGTTGTGCGGTAGGCTGGAGAACCTCGACCGCATGCTGCGCATAGATTTTGATATCCGCTACGTCAGATACAGGAGGAACTTCATAAACCCATTTTAAACGAGCGCCCATTTTGCTTGTAGGCACCTAAGCTCAAATACTTATTTGAGCTCTTTAAAAGGTAGCATTTTCTGGGTTATAATGAAGATGAGTTACGGGCCGCTTTTTAGACACACCTATCGTACCCAATAATGTCTTGCTTTGGGGCAGACTTATTAAAGCAGTACTTACTGGAGGTAGCGGACGTAGAACTCTAGGTCGATTTGTGATGTGAGGGCATTGGGTCAAATACCGTGGCCGAAATGATATCATTTGTGAAAATCTGTCTGTGGTATAAGGCTAAAGCAGACTGCCGTAGAGCACTCGCTTTTGCTAAGCTAGGGTAAAGGTTAGTTACTACTTAACGATGATTAACAAACTACGTTTACATCGACGGAACAACTTGATTACAATATTTTTTAGTAAAATCGTACTTACTGTTTTCTTGAGCTGCAGATGTTCTTTGCGTATCGTCGTCACAATGTACATCGCAACGTATTTAAGGTACATACCTTTGTTCTATGGAAATTTCTTTATCCATTGCATATGACACCACATATAAAAAATATCGAATACTTGTAATGCCTGCCGTGGATTTGAGATTCAATACAAAACCCCGTATCGTACTACATTTCTAACTAAGATGACAGGCCAAGCAGCTTTTTAGAAAAATATGGCTGACAAGCCTCTGGGACTCTAAAGGCATCACACTGTATCTTCCTAAAATCCTAAAATCTTACGAGTACGCAAAACCCAAACAAGAATGGTTGTCGCAGTAAGACCTCCTTCAACTCATATTCAATCTTACCTGCTTGTTTACATCTTTTATAGTACAACTGATCTACGCAGGTGAAAATGCAGCTGCTACGACAGTTTCGCAGTGGAACGGACATAATGACGATTTAAAATTTTTCACCAAATCTCGCGCAGTTGTTCGTGCCCTGTAAACTGACAGAAGAGTTCAATAGTTTCCCTGTTAATTGACAGCAATTGTCCCGCTATTTCGTGTAGGTTAACAACAAAGTCAAACTCGAGCGGATTTGAGTCAACGTCATCACTGCCTCCATAAAACGAACAATTATTTCTAAGTAATCATCATAAGTTTCCGTGGCGATCCTCTGAAGCAATGCTTAACGGCGATACTACACGATACAGGTGTTGTTACCATATATGAGCCGGTTTGGCTGTGTAAGCAGCCGGCTTGTGGCCGGCTGTTTAGCAAACCTAATTCTAGCAAGTGTATATCTCTAGGTGTGACGAAGTCATTAAATTCTACTTCATGCCAATCATATTGCACTGCCAATTGTGCGTTCATTATAAATGGTAACACTTTGGAATATTTGCGCTTGGGTTATCTGTTATAGCTTCAAACTGGTCTGAACGCAGCACATTACAGTAAGATGTCTTCAGAAGAAGAATAGCTTCTTATAAACAAACACTCCAGGACGTCATTACGTTGAATAGATTGACAAACAGTCTATTGTCCAAGGCTTTGGCTGGCTGCCACGTTTACTGAGCCTGGTAGGAGCGTAGACTTGATGGTAGACCGCTGGCCTTATTAAAATTCATTAAAAAAATACTCGCTCAAGAGTATTTTTTTTAATGAATTTTTTTCTCGAATTATCTCGTATCGTTGAATTTTGAAGGCGCCCGTATCTGTTAGTTTATCAACTGAGTAACCCTAATGCTTCTAAGGAATCATCTTAAATATGGCCTATCGATACGCTAGGCAACAATGTATTATAGTGTCATGCGCGCATATGTGACCACTGTGCAAGTTTCATGAACGCCTGTCTATTTAATAAATACTAATAATGATAATGATATGAGTCTTAAATGTTTAATGTAAAATGAACATACATATTTTATTATTATTTATAGGTAGAGAATCACAATACCAATCTACACATTTATTACGACACGATACCTTTGCTACTCTGAACAGGAAATAGAAAACGTATCCCCACATGTATTTTTCTAGATAATGTTAATATATACACATTAGAGTAACTTTTATGTTTGCAAGATTAAACACAGAATCAAACTAAAATATATCATATGAATTAGTTATGTAACAGAGTAGCTAAAATGTTACAAGGGGAATCAGCAGTGAAACAAATGTAACCGAGCGTGGTAATACCACGCTCGGTTACAACCGGGTCTGTATGAGTCGAAAAAAGCATCATAAAAACCATATACGACACAGGTTCAAGGATCCTTCATACCCTATCTATAATAGCATAATTAAATCCACTTTGGTCGGAACTGATTTACGTGTCTCTACTATAGTGTTTTTTAATCAAATCAGCAAAGTGAAACATGCTCACTAGTGAGTAAAAAAAATGTACGAACCATCATTTGCTATTATTTAAAAGACTCAAAGCCCAGGGACAGTAAATAGACAAACACCTGGACTCAATTTTAATAATGCAAATTGGTAAGATTCTGTTGAATTTTTCCCTTTTTACCATACATAAATATTGTCAAGGACGAAAATCGGAATCCATCAGTGTTTTACTAATCTAATCTAACGGATCAATATCGTAGAGTCAATATTCGTCGAAACGTTTAAAGAAGACATGGGATCAGAACATAATAAAGAACAAATAAATACGTAACTAATTCATTATAGAGCGATATTAACATAAAGACGACATAAAAGAAAAAATATTTAAGAATGCCTAACGTTAATGCCAAGTTTCCAAATGGAGTAAAAGTTATGTAAAATGGCAGGGGCCCGTTTGTCCCGAGCGCCTTCTAACAGCAAGGACCTTCGCAGCTCACAAGATTCGCAGGGTCCTGCAAAACGTGGATTGAATAGAGACTGTTTGCTCCCCGGTGTTCGGTTGTAAAGATCCCTCTTTACTACAAACAGCGAAAGGTCTATGGGGTTGGGGTCTTATTTACTGGCTTTAAGCGAAGGCCGACGTCTTTACATTTCATATGTAGCACACTGCGTTTGTGAATCGGAAGAAAGAAGTTAATAACTTAACCAAATCGTGGAGGTCGATCACCGCATATGGTGATTTCCTCATACGATAGTCATCAAGAGGTTTGGCCCATTCATATGAAAGTGTTGCACGGGCATATTTAGCAATCGATAGAATCAATGAAAATGGCTTGCAAATTTTTATCTCAGAAAATATGTCGTTTGCCTTCTCGGTCAAAAACCGTCTACTTGCTAAAATCTAAATTAGAGATCTAATTTATTATTTTGCGAATTCATTCGTTTAAATTTAAAAAAAAATAGCCAGAATTATAACTCTTAAATGCTCATATCCGTTTCAAGGATCGTCAGAGAACGCAGCTTAACGCCTGTCCGATATCAGACTGGTTTTTTGAAAAAGAACTTTTCTAAAACAGTTTTAAATATATGCAAAATACCTGAATGATTGTCATTGAAACAGATGACTAGATTAAGCAGTGGTTGATTTAAAGTAGTGAAGTCTGCATTTGTCCTGTTGAGTAGGTGGATTCACATGAAACGTCATTATTGAACTATAGCTACTACTTCCAACAAATAACGTTGCCCAGAAGTAACATTTTTCTAGTCAGAAGTTTCTGTTAGCCCTCAGAGAGGCCTGGTCGCACCTTGCAATATTTGCTTGTCTTCACGGTACTTCACATTTGCTTTCGCCTGTGTCTAATCAGCTCTTTTTGTATCTTTCTAGATAATTAGTCAAATACAAATAATGGGAATTATGTAGGAACTATGTAGGAGTCTTGGTAAATATAGAGCTAAAAGTAGGCCTATTTACCGGAATTAGGTTTCGTGTAATATTCTCTTGTCTTTTTTGCCACACACTAGATAATATTGCACGTTCTTCGTATATGTTAGTCGAACACATGTTGTTATTCTGTGTAAATGATTACATTATCTATTACTTGCGGCTGTAATTAACAGTGGTTATATTGTACTTCTTACAAGGTATTATGTTCACAAACAATACTCGCATTGTTTTCATACGAGCTTACGTAATAACTTCGTAAGGCATGAAAAGCAGCTCTTCGCTGATATACCGCAGAGAGTACTTTATGCTTCTCATTGTGTTGGCATATCGTAACGTTCTTTGAACACACTTCAAGTAGCTTTTTTAGCTCAAACGGCGCACGAATTCAATGTCTAACCTTCCTAATTTATATTAATTTTTGTTGAAGCGTTTGCGCGATCGTCCTCACTTAAATATTTCGAGTTTTGGGTTCGGTACAGCCGGTAAGCATCGCCTCAGACGGCAGGGCTCCCTCAAATCGTGTCCCATAAAAACTGCCTGAATGATTACATGTAGTTACGACAAATTTTTCACATACTACTGTATCGTCTATTACTATCCTGCACTGGAGACTTTCATATCCGTTTCCTCTGATATATAATCTAGCACTGTCCTTGCGAGCGTTAGTGATGTCTTCGCTTGTTAAATGTCTTCAGATTTAGGATAAAAATAGTAGGTGAAGGAGGATCTATCGACAACGTTTTGGCTCTTGAAAGGCAAGAGCTTATCAAAGCGTTCCACACAGAATGTTTCATCTCCGAAGTAACATTAAATCGATAACATAGTAGACTCATCTTACTCTGAAGATTCGTCCTATCCAAACAAGCTAGGCAATTTGGTGCAGTCTATTTGATTGAAATAAACAAAATAATATTATACTGATTGTGACAGTAAGCTTCCATATAGCAAAGCTCCATTCATCCAAATTGCTTTTTGAGTATAATTCATCCGATTAACTCCTGAGCTACCATTTAGTAGTCGTCAATTACTTTGGAAGTGCTTCACTTATTATACACTAAGATTACTACAGATACTCTAAAAAGCCCTTAATGGAATTTCTCCTAGATGCCCTTCCTAAAATAAGCCACTTTTTCACAATTTGTTTTCCACAGTCGTTTCAGGAGTGCCACATCTGCTATTCAATGGACTTACTTACAGTCAAATTTTGCTCACCATTTTGAGTACATAGAAGCACAATAGCGCAAACCTGCCTACCAAAATCCTTCGACCCTGTCTAGACTATTTGCCACCAATCCGTCGTTTGTATTAATGGCACCATTTTCACTGTTGATTTCATCTAATAGGAAATTTCTTTCGTAAACTCACTCGAGTATGCGCAGGCTTCTTCTTCTGTTTAGCTAGGGAACGATCATCGTTACATAGGTTAAAGTTGAGCAAGAACGCCACGTAAATACCACTCCCAATAACTTAAATACAATAAATAATACCAATATATACTGGATGATACGTCACATAGAAGAATAATAAATAGCGTAAAGGTATACGATCACCAAGAAAGGAGCATCTAATAGAGAGATGCTATATCTGGGCGCTGCATTAGCTATGAGCGTAGCTGACACAGCTTTTCCCTAGTTGCTCTATACAGATAGACGACGATATTTGATTATATGCAAGTAGCACTGCAGAGCTGCTTATAACTAAACCGCTAATAAGGTCCTGTTATAAAAATTACATTTAAATAATGTAAACAATTTTATTTGATTGGTTTAAAGTAAGAAAGTAATTGCACGTTACGGTATTATCAGGTTTACGTCTGCCTCGTGCACTCCGATCTCTTTCTTTCATCATTTTGCAAACAATGTGCCATTTCTTAAGCAAAGTCGATAAATTGTCTTACAAATAGTTATCTACCAATTTAATACCGGCAACATGGGAAATTTACCTAAGGGATTCTGCTCTTCTTAGACGCTTGGCCGTTATTTTATGATTGATATTGGTGACAGTAACGACGACAGCAACGAGTTTTTGCATGATACCAGAATCATATTAAAAACAATACTCGCAAAAAAGACATCTGCATATAATGCATCACAAAGATGGTATCAATCGTAGTTGTCAGTCTACCCGTGTAACACAGCTCCACTCCTAACCTAAAGCTTTCACAGGGTTTTTTGCAGACAGCCACCGCACACTCGGGATACTTACACGCCAATTAAGTTTTTTTGATGTTTTAGCCCATTTTTTTGACTTCGAAAATGTTTGTACTCTGCTTGCGACTTGAATGTTTAACAACGCCCTTAGTAATGTTGATTCAATTCTTAAACATCGTTTTAATTTTCGCCTTCTAAAGCGTTTATGGCGGTCCCGTTGCTCTTGCCCGCTCACCACCGGTCAGCAGAGAAAAGTGCCCGCCGGACCTCTTGCATAGATACTCTCCGAATGCCCGCCATTTCGCCAACCGCCAAATATCAGCTGCATATTTACGTTAGTAAGTACCAACCCAGCAAGCACTGCGATATTATTATAAAGAATTATTTCATCTCGGCAAAGAATGTTTCAAATCAATGATCTACTTCGCAATTAGTAATCTACACGAGCTCAAATGATTAGCTGCGCATAACAAGAGGCGGGTGATTCATTAGACACATACAAATATATGTGAGTTGTCGGGTTGGTGTATACGCGGCCGGGCGGAAATGGGCTCCACGCAGTTTTCGTCAATCACGTGACCTACGCGCTCGGCCAATCAGCGAACGCGCTGGCCCCGAGTCGCAGGCCGCCACCGGACGAAATCTGTGAAGTGTAGTGGATTGAGCTTACTCTCGAGTGAAGCCACATGCAACAACTGTGAACCCCACGGGCGCAGAGGTAAGCGCTGCGATGACGTTGAGATATGCTTGAGAACCTTGGCTGGGTTCTGCATAGTAAACCATTCAGGGTCAAAGTGCCCAACTGGCATAGTGGGGGCTTCGCCGCCCCCGGCGGTTTCAACCGCCAGATTACTGCTCTTGTTGCTACTACTACTAAGGAGGTGCAGTAGCAGTGTTGGGGCCGTGCCAGCGCGTCGGACGGCCGTTACTTAGATACCTACAGGGGCACCAACAGGCCAGTTGGACAGTCTGATCCAGTCCCTGACAGTCGCCTGTCGAAGGTTTCCTGGGGTTACCAAGTGTTCACCTAGCGGCAAACAACATCAACCGAAGCGGCGGCGGATGCTAGTATGGTATTCAGTCAATCGGTCGGTCGCTCGCTCGCTCGATCGATCAGTGTGTGCCTATCTGTCTGTCTGTTTCTTGGTCTGTGTATGATGTCTGGTAGCTGTGGCTGATGGGTGTTGTCGTAAGTGTCTATTGCTTGCATGACTGTGTCTCAATGTAGTTGATGTTTGATTCTGGTGGGTTTGGCTGCTATCGGCTCTTACAGTGGTGCGGGAAGCGACAGACTGGTGACTGTAGTTAGTAAATGGGAGTTTTATTATTCTTACTATTATAAGTTGTTGTTTGTCTTCTTCAAGTTATTGCTGCTGCTGCTGGTGATGATTTATACATGTGTATATCTATACGTTTGATTCTATGTGCACCCGGTGTATGTTCGGCAGGTCGTAGATTCTCTATATGCTGTAGCGTTTCTGTCGTGGCGCGGTGCTCCTACCGACATCGGACAGGTGCCGGGGAGACCGTCGACCGAAGTGGGCCGCCCGGCCGAGAATGGCCGCCAACGGAGACTCGGGTAACGTGATCGTCGCCACTTCTCTGCTGACGGGCAATCAGGTGCACGCTATCGGTAAGTGATAGTGATGAAGAACCGCGTGAAGTAAGCAGACACCCCATACATCATCAAGTCACTGCAAATTGCATTGAATTTACCTTTATTTGTCACAAATCCTCGAAGTGTAATTTTGAAGAAATCGGATTTTTAAGAATTCGAGCCGGAGATTCTGCTTCAAAGATTCCTCGCGGCTGGTACTAGTCATTTGTACGCTGGAAAGCTATAGTTTGGGCCGGCTTGGCAAATTGGCAATGATCAGTCACCACACGTGCATCCTGCTGCTGTTGCCATTGCCGTCGGCTTTAACTGAACATATAACACCTAGTAATTCAATCCTTGTGTAACCCTAAAGAACACAATTCAATTTTTTCGTGATGAAGCGAGCTAGCAACACAGCGCTTTTTTTTCCAACATTTTGCTTCGGTGTTAACGTCTGCCTTTTGATAGCGCTTGCTAAATCTAGACAAATGTATAAATGCTCGTACACCTTATAAGAGATGTGATAGTTACAACATATTAGTCCGTTTAGAATGTCACTGTTGTTTTGAAGCTCAAGTTAAACCGTGGATTAGCGCTCTCGATTGAATATCTCTGAAACGGTAAGGACTGATGCTTTGAATGACTAAAAAGGGCCTCCAACCGCTGAGGACGAATTTGTTTGTCTATCTGTTCACCCCAGGGAGCGCCAATCGTCTTAAACACTCGGGCTAACTAAAATGACAGACAATTGTTCTAGCATCAACACATCCGACGTGGTTATACCTGCCACATATCTAATTTATCAGTCATCTGACTAACTGAATAATTTTCCTAAATTCATCTACCTACGCGTGTGTCTCTCATGTCCCGCTCGTTCTTTTGATAATTCGTGCAGCATCCGCTGCTGTTTAAGGATAGCTCGGTCTGGTATACTGTAGTATGTGTTGATCGCTATAAATGTAAGTTCAGAGTGAATTTGGCCAGGCCTTAATAGAATTACAGATGCTGGATGTTTAATTTGACATGACAGAGACCTTAAGTTATATTACTGATTGATTTTGAACGAGTGGTTTAGTAGCTTTTCGTTTGTGATTGTGCATGACAGGCGTTTTTCAAGACCACGTCATTCGTAATAAGGGTTCGGATTCTTTCGAATCTCTAATTGCACAACAATGTCATACCATTATTTATGACAAAGATATAATTGTGCTTTTACTCATGCTAGGCACGTGACTCAGAAGTACGAAAGTCTGTACGGCTAATTCCGGAAAATGATGCAAAGTATTTTATGGGTTTCAGAATTTTTTGAATTGCTAATTTATGCTTCCAATTATTTTTAACTATTCTTTGCGGTGTATTTTTAAATTACTAGGACCTGTATTCTTTTAGAAAACATCATTTACGTTAATAACTGTCCGACATTCAAGAAATCGATTGTCATACGTTGATCTTATACCCTTGAAAACCTCATTTTAATTTAACGTATTTTATTGTACATAGTGAAAACGAAACACAGTTTTAATTAATCTCTGCCTTTCACGTATCCTTTAAACGCCAGAAGTGCCCTTTCAAAGCACGCCTGGGTGTATCCTAAATATGCGCTGCGCGGAAAAGCTCGACAAAAAGATATGACTAAACATCTACTAATGGATATAATAGTATGAGTAAAAAGCATACACGTATCCTTACAGGTATTCTAAAGCACAAACCAATAACGAGTAACTGCAAAAATATCCCGAATACTATTTATTTGTTTCTAATTGCCATCGGTCCAAGTAAAACATCTAACTAAATTACAAAAAAGCAGATTTTTATCAGAATTCATTAATGCAAATGTAGTTTTTTACGTTACTAATGGTGTCTGTCGAATAGTCGCTCTCTACTCCAACTCAGATTGCTTTAACATTTTTTAAAGATTATTTCAAAACGGGAATAATTTACGCGTTATTATGCTTTACTATTCACATTTTACTAAAATGCTCATATCTTTTAATAAACATGGGCTTTAAATTGCAACCAAATCTAATGTCTTTTCCTTAGAAAGCTCCTTGAAGGAAACGGCAAAAAATATTTGCTAGTTTTCGAGTATCCTAAGTTAAGATTTATTTCTCAGATAATCAAAGTAAATAAAACAACAAGAAATACTGACTTTTCGATTAGTTGTCCGTGACTGTGTTGTGTTGTATCTTCTTAATGCCCTTCTTAGCTACCAGTAAAATTGTTTTCATATTGTACATTATTAAGAAGACTAAAATAACTACATAGATACATTCATGTTTAACTAAAATGTTTTTTACATTAACCTCAAAAAAAACAGAACATGTAATTACTCACAATTTTTCGCGATTTGACGCGGCTCGCATCCATAAGTACATGAGGCTTAGCATGCACGAGTAAAGGTATAATTTGATAAAACAGAATAACAACGGAAATATTCCGTAGAATTTCGATATCAACTTATGGAAGTCTGATCCTTTAAGTCAAGAAACCCATCTAGAAGTAATCCATTTCGACTGGCACTAGATGTCTGCGTAACTAGCTAGTGTAGTTTGGATATATGCGAAAGGGCTGCTGTAAACTGGAACGATAAACTACGAGAGTCAAAGAGTTACCTGCCATACACTAGGCAGCAGTGACTTTTAGTAAGGCCATAAGGTAACAGGTTCATCTGTATTGAAGCTTTGTAAGCGGAACTTCGAAATCGGTTAGCAGTGGTTACCTTCTCATTTTCAAACTGTAAAGATATTCTTTGCAGTTTCTGCAAATCGCGTCAAATTTGAAATGTATTAATGTTTTGACATATCTGCACGAAGGGGTCAGTGCTAACTAACATCAAGAAATCAAATTGTATACATTGGACAGGTGCGACATGTTTTTTCAGATGAAAAAGCTTACTGCAATTTTGCACGGAGGACGTGTTGCAGTATGCGTTGTTTACAAACACTATATTAATAGGATGATAATTGTTGGGAACATGGACTTTTTTGACTCTTAGATGTACTGACGTCAGAAAACTGCATATTATCTGAAAGCGACCGTAAACTAAAGAATATTAACTGTCCCCGCAATAGTGCAGTTGTAAGTTGTTTGCCTACTAACCAGAAGCACCTAGATGTGGCATAGGTTCAAATTTGGCCACAAGCATACTTTGATTCTTCAAGAAAAATGCCATCAATAGGAAAGCCAAAAAATATAATGATTTCCTTTTTACTCGGTTTGTCTCAGCCTTCCTCTCGGTTGATCTCCTTACTTGGACAGATTTTTGAAGCATGCTTAAAGCAATAATACTGTAGCCTGTCATGGAGGAGACAATTGAAAATCAGCTAGAAAAAGGGTTTTCTCTGTATCAAAGGTTAGGTCTATGTATTTTATTAGTTGTTAATAAAGTAGGTAAGTAATATGATCATTTACAGCAAATCGAGAAATCCTAAACCATTATATCTTCCCAGGTGGGTAAATGATTGACGTTCAATGGTAGTTTTTACCTCGCCACAAACTACGAAAGTCCTAGGTGAATTACATAGAGTATCATTCATGAGCCCTCCATTCACCATATTGTGTTCGTTCACATAACGTTCTCTAACGTAAAAGTTCATAACGTTTTTCTCAGAGTAGCACAATGAGCAACTTGTGTATATTAAGTGGTAAATGTAGGGACCTCATTTTTTAAAACCGTTTTTTCAAGAGTAAGCGAACACATTAAAATACGTTGCATTTAGCGCATTATAAACCCTATACGGCATTCAGGCGATATCACATCTCAAAGGAATCCGTTAAATCAACGTAGTTATTATAATTATTAAAAATACCAATGATAATATTAATGGTTATTATTAGTATTACATAATTTATTGGCCGCGACGACGGTGGCGTAGAGGACTAGTCACAAATAAGACATTTTTTTAATGTTATCTATCTATTATTGTAAAGTAAATATCTAGATATGGAGAATTCGAGCACCTTTAATAACAACGAATACTGATTACCGTGGACGATAAAATAACTATCATCAAGTTGAACGGTTTGAGGGGACATACGTGTAGAAGTTTTCCTAATCATTTTCGACAATGCCGAATGTTGTGTGGTAATTGCGTGGTGAAGATAAGAGCTTCAAAAAATTATTTTAGATGTATATTTAGAATGTTTAGTAACGTAACGATATTAATGGTATGGAAAAGTTTCACTTTATCTTTGAAGTTATCGGCATTAACTGCAATAATATTGTCTAATAGTGTTTGTCTCCTTTATTTATGACGAAGGAGTGCAATTCGGAAGCTTAATCCTCGAATCCTTTCAATATTCTGGTTATTTGGAACAACAAAATACAATAAATGCAGTATTTAGCTGTCAGTTAAACGAGATAAGTGTTGACAAGGAGGACCGGTTAACAAAAACCTAACAACAATGAGCTAACGTAGCGATTATACTTCGTCAGGAGGCGGCGGTACTCGATACATTACAGTGTCATCACACGGAGCTTCCGGAGCAAAACATTCGCCGGCAGCACAAAGCGTCATCCTCACGGCACAAAGCCCTCACGGTTCACCTGTTATCCTACAGAGCCCCTCTAGGGGTGGTACCGCACAGGTACTTCTAGTCTAACAGTATCAGTAATAGGGATCCTCTAAGGTGTTACGACGTCGGTCTTAACGTATACCTTTACGAAACAATAGAGTTGATTATATAAATTCTAGGCTTTATACCAAAGTAGTTGTTAAAAGAACAGATACATGCAAGCCCCATAGAATTCGAATACCTCGTGGAACGATTGTACCTCGATGATGTCGTCGAAACACACTTATTGAAACCAATTTAATATATTTATTCGTGTCTTGTAAATAAGGTGTTCCACACGTACACATCTTTGGGAAACTCATCATCTGCGGGTACCGCCACAGTGGCGGGTACTGGAATCAAACGGGAGCGTGATGGAGATCTCCACGAAGGATACGTCGAGGTGAGCCCTTTACAGGACATTTACTAAATTCCACTAATGATGGCTGGGTACTTCGGGAACAAGCCCCCTTTGTCTTTTACTGCTGTAGATTGTTACATAGGTCGGCGTTTCAGCAAAATCAAAGTGAGAATTAATATGAGGCAAGCTCCAATTTAACTCGTTGTTTTCTGCTGTTCAGGTGAAACGAGCACGAGTGTCAGCACCGTCGTCTTTTCATAGCCACCATTCGTCGATTGCGTCTAGCGCCAGTGGCGGTGGTGGCTCCGGGGGTCGGGGTGGAGGTTCCGCTGGCGGAAAAGGCCTTCGACATTTTTCAATGAAAGTATGCGAGGAAGTTCGTAAGCGTGGTAAAACGACGTACAATGAGGTAGCAGACGCACTGGTGAATGAGTTTTCGGAGCGTGGAAGCGGAGCAGCTGGAAGCGGATCTGCGACAGCTGGAGGGGGCGCCGGAGGAGCGGGCGGCTGCAGTAGCAGCAGCGGCGGCGGTGGTGGAAACAACAACAACAATCACGGGGGAAGTGGAAGTGGTGGGGCATCTTCCGCGGCCGCTGCTGCAGATGTCTCGGCCAACGGCGCCGGCGCGGGCTACGACCAGAAGAACATTCGCCGAAGGGTCTACGACGCCCTCAACGTACTGATGGCCATGGGTAGTTATTGGACTATCATCATATAATTATAGTTACGGCTATTGGGTCCTTGATAAAAGCGTACGATGGAGCAGCTCTCTCCATATATCTACACACTATTCGTTTTGCCCTTGCAGGAATTATTGAGAAGAAGCATAAGGAAATACACTGGTTGGGATTGCCAACAAACAGTGCACAGGAGTGTAAAAAGGTCAGATTTAGCTCATTTTTTTAAATGTTTATTTTACCTCTTCGCTGATGTTGTGGGAATAAAGGGCCATCACTTTTACTCTTTCCAGTAAAGACTTCTGCTGTACAAACTGTCGATTTGTATTATGTAAAAAGAATCCCCAATTACAAAATGAACCATCGGTTGCTGGTTCAGCTCCCGTCATCGATATGTACAATGCTATATTACATATCACACGATGATATGAAGAAAAATAATTAGATCATAATTTTTTCTTATTGGTTCCTAATTTTCACAGCTGGAAGCGGAGAAACGTGAGCGCCTGTCGCGAATTTCGCATAAAACCCAACAGCTGTACGATCTCATCTTGCAGCATATTGCCTACAAGAGTCTCGTAGAACGCAATAAGGTCAGTAAAGTAAGGTAACCGACGAGACCACATCAGCGTTCTATATATACATAGACTAAGGAACGATAAAAGATTCTCAGAACACCAAAGGAGCAGAATACTCTTTCTTATATTTCTTATTTCCAATCTTCAGAATTACAGGGAGATACTTTTTACAAAAGGAATTAATAATTCTATGCTTTCTCCATTCCTCTCACCGCATACTTTGATTAGATGTCGGCATCGGTAACTAGTCCCGCGTGTGTTCCCAACTCTACGATTGCCCTGCCATTCATAATTATCAACACAAGTCGGCAGACCGTGATCGACTGCCAGATCTCGGCCGACAAGCGAGAATACCTGTTTAATTTTGACAATGCGTTCGAAATACATGACGATATCGAGGTGCTCAAGGTATAGTGCCACTTTGTTCTGCATTTGTCGAGAATAGAATGATGAGCTAGGTAGCGAATAATACAGAAGACTAATGTTATTTATTATAGATGTTCCTCTTAGTCTAATAATAATACTAATTCCGCATTCAATCAAGGATAGGTGTGACTCCCGATCGTAGATAATTTATCGAGGAATATTCGTCTGCTCCTTTGTTTAGTCGCACTTAGTATATGTCGTAAGCGCCGCATATAAAACAATATGCTACAAGACAGTTGTAGGATCCGTATTCACAACAGTGTCCAAATGACGTGGATAACCTTGATATGAATCCACCCGAATGATCGAATATTCACTTCAAAGCTGTCGTTAAAAACTCAACGCTTGTATTAGACTAAATCGTTACTAATATACAAAAGTGCTATGAAATACTCAGCTTTGCCTAGATATGAATGCGTCTGTTTGAATTCCTATCAACTTACATTTTGCATGTTCTATGCGGCTAAAAGCCTTCATATCACATATATGTATATATATATAACAATAGTTTTTATAATAGTACGCATGTTTGTGTCTACAGCGTATGGGCCTTGCCCTAGAATTAGAGCGTGGAACCGCTTCTCCCGAGGCTGTTCGGCAAGCCAAGGCCATGCTGCCCCGCTCGCTTCAGCCATTTGTTGAGCAACTCGCTCGTTCGAGGGATCAACTACCACCGGACATGATGCGTCTGACGAAAGCGTCCTTGAATCCCATGAGTGCCAGCGATGAGGCTGTCATTTCAATTTTGCCTTCGCCATCATCCGAAGAGAACTACTCCGAAGATGACCAATACGAAAACTAATAACTGACAAGCTATCGGTTGTAGCGCGGCATCAAACCACATTATAGACAACCACGAACACTTGTTTTACATAACTTGGCTTGCTAACAGCAATAACAAGAACATGCCAAGTAGGATTATGCGTTTACTCATTCACGTCTTGTTGATAAACAAGTGTGGTCCCCAATAAACAAATCAGTCATCATCTACTCAACTTAGAGATAATTTGTTTTCTTTGCGAATAGGACTGTAGTCTAATGCATGCACGAATTTACTGCAATCTCATGTTTCGCATAGTTGTTACACGCTGACTCACCAATGAATATTGATTACTTTCAGATGCAATTGTGTAGCTCGAGGTCACAATATCGTGTGTTACAAAAGTTAGGTCCTAAAACACCTTCCATCCATTCTCTATATGGATAATAAATGAGGACTGTGAAACCTCAACAGTTAGCGAAACGTCGCCTATACGCTACCGTCCTTAAGCTCACTGAAGTCTATCACACATGCAAATGATACAGGTATTATTTAAATAACGAATTATATTTTTTATTAACTGGAGATCTGCACGATCCTAATAGATTACTATAGAAATTTGACGTCATTCTTACAATGGTGTGAGGATAGCCAACAACAGTCAAAGGCAAAATAAGAGTGCATCTTTATAGAACATTAATCGACCCTACGAACTCAATTTATGGCGAACTTCCGCTAAATTATCGTTCTATATAAAAATCTAAATTTAACGGACGTTCAAAGATAGACATATATATCTCTGTCGATGCGGACAGAAATAATTAATTTTGAGCGTTCCATTCCATAGCAATTTACTAGCTATTTTCTTACTAAGATTTGATCATTAATGACAGATCCATGCAGTCACCTTGCTTTGAAAAATTAAGTTTTACGAGGTTCTTAGCCTGATTTTTTAATGTAATATTAGACACGTACTAGAGGTTCAAGTTCGACCATTTGACATGGGCACAGGATGCGGCAAAAAGAGCACAGTTTTTCACTTCTACAATACGTATAAAACACGTATATGTTGAAAGCAACCCGCATCAATATACATTTAATTAAATTAGAAAATAAATTTCTATAAATAAAATACTCAACAGACCCCATTTACGGCCTGAAACTGAATAGCGGCTGTGTACAGCTATTATTATTTGCTTTTTCATGCGTTATCATTGAAAACAAATAGTTTTCGGTTGTACATAGTGATAAAATTAGTCTAATTATGCTTCAATGACTTTTCTTACAGTTTATGGGCTTGGGCATTCGAAATGAATTTAATCTGTTCTGCATTCTTATTTTTATGATGTGTTTTGTAACGGTTGCCCGCTAATTGAGAGGAATAGGAATAGTGAGACATTTAACCAAGCTCTATCTTTAAGGCTAAGAAAAGAACATGTAACCTTCTACTATAAAGAGTTTACTACGTCACTGGAATTAGCTACAGATAATATCCAAGCCCGGCTATTTGAATGTGTATTGTTAATAAACTAACATGTGCGCGAACATTTTAATTCATGTGTGCCGCCTTGGATCGAATGACTCGACAAGTAGTATGACTGTGTCTTAGTAGTTGCACCAGTATCTGGAAAAAGGTCAACAGAAATGCGCTGTGTAAGATTCTCTAGGAAAACTTTCTAGGCTACGTAGTCGCAGCGGCCAATAGACACAGCTTTCCGCCATTTCGAAGCTCATTTACCCGCAAATCACCTTTTAAAATAAGTGTGCACAGTACCGCTGAGATAAAAAGCAGCTAATCTAGCAAAGATTAGCTGCCTTCTGTCCTGAATCATAGACTGTCGATCACCTATTATATGACGTAATTCTCGAAATTTGAAGTTTTGGCTACGTTTATTGGATTGACGCCACCAATAGTGAGATCTATTTCTAAAAGCCGTATCTCTCATAGGGCGGAGGACGTTTGCTCTTGAATGAACCCCAATTTGGCATTCACCATTTTTTATTGTCTAGCTTAGACTATCCACATACTTGAAAAACACTAGTCATACCAGTGATTGCTTTCTCACAATTAATAAATAAGAAAACTATATCGATACATTTATTAATTAATAAAGTCGGTGGCCAAACATTTCACCTTAAAAAGTTTGCCATGCATTGTGATGCATGCTGTGTTAATAAATTAACACTAAATGGACATCGTAAGATATTACGTTGCGTTGGCACGGGAGCGGCTGAAGGTGAATTTTAAATCAGGATAACCGTACGTGATTCTGCCTAGATTTCTTTAGCCAGACCCTCTAACAGGTGCCTCATTTGTAGTGCTGCATGCACATCTACCACAGCGCGCGATCTTCGAGCTGACAAAAGGGTTCTTAAGTACAGAGCAAAGACTCCTAGGCACTCGATACTAAAGGTGCTTATCATAAGCCTGATGATTTGCTACTGATTAGCACGACAAAAAGGTGTACTAGATCTGGCGCTCACTAGACGCACTGAGCAGGTATTGCAGCTCATGAACCACTACCCACTAGAAATTCTCAAGTGTAATTATTCACAAAACGTAAATAGTAACAGGAATCCTTGTCGCCATACATAATAACAGGCACGACCCAGACAGGCCAGAGATTCTGGTATAAACAACTAAAATTAAATACTAGCGATGCTCATTTAATTTAAGAAGGTGTCTTCGATCGAAGTCGGAATTCTATGTCTTTTCTGGTAAAAGGTGCTTCTTTAAGAGAAACATTCTTTAGAATAGGCGCTGCGGGTCACCAAACATCTCAAACATCTATCTAGCCCAAGTTTGATAAGCAACATCCCATTCAACTGAAAATGTATATATTATCGACATTATTTCATCGAACAGCGTTTGCGACTAATTCATGTGTCATTATTATTTCTATTTGCCTACCTTTAGAGATCACGAGTGTAGGCTTTACGTTTTAATTAACTTAAAGCGATATGACACATGGAATCCTTACAAGGGTACCTTAATTATTAAAAACGTATATAACCTATATACTATGGAAATCCATGTCTTTTTACCTGGTTTACAGTGTTGATTATGTAGTATAATAAAAATTGACTATTACTAGCAAAAAAAAAAATGAGAAAGGTTTCCTTTTGCAGTGGCTCAGAAGACGCCAAGAAATACTCCTTCTCTTCACTCAAACTCAATGCGTTCAAAACTGTACTTCTGTAAAAGTTATGTGTTTACGGCAATGTACTGCTTTTATGACTTTTTGCACTGTACAATATTCGCCATTCAACAGCGCGTCTAAAATCTACCACTGGGAGGTCTGCCAAGATTACCTTACCTGCAAGTTACCTTGCCGTTTTGGAAATGCGTGCTTGGTTATTTGTTTGTTCATTCTCAGGTATCTTAATTAATGTATGCATCCTAATGGACAAGTACAACCCTATCCAGGCTGTCAGAGACAACCGTCCATTAATTCTTCGACCTTCCTTCATACGAAGTCATTCCTGTGATTGCATTCCTCCGATACATGTTTTACCTGCCTGTCCTAAATCGCTCTCTCTCTTGTCTGTTCAACGACGCACTGAAATGTGGACTTCTACAATAAGACTATTTCATAATATTAACAACAATAATAACAACACATTGCTTAGTCACACATATGTACGAACGCTATATTTATTGAGAGTGGCTATTGAACATCCACTATACCGTATTGCGCTTGATCTTCACACTGTCAGCTCCTTTCATCGTGTGAACTTCTGTGTTAATCTCCTCTAATTAGTGTGTGTTCTAAATATGTTGAAGCTGTATGGGTATTACTGCTGTTAGGTATTGCTTCTGACGGCATGCCTTTTTCAATACGAAACTAAGCCATCTTGCGTGCCCGCAAGCTTAGAAGTTGGAAAACAGCCTAACACTACAACACAAGAACGCGGTTAACTGGTCTGCCAGAGTTGTGCGCCACCGTTAATGACTCCTCTGAATGATGTTATTGTGGCGCTGGACAAGCGCAGAAGAATGCGCGGGAAGAGCGATTGCGTCGCGCGCAACTTTAGAAGTGGGCGGAGTCTCTGTATACTAAATTGTGGAACCAGACGCCCGCCTCCTAAAGACAAAATGATGCTTGGCTACCCCGCGCGGCATTGATTCGACTGCGCGCCACCGACTGAAAGTGAGTTCCTTTTCATGCGCTGGGTTGCCACTACTCCTAGTACAGGGGAAAGGGAATACGAGTATCTGCCACAGCTGCTCCGAAAAGCTCCTTTTAATACGTCGTCTGCTTGTACTTTATAAATAAGCACCACCTGGAAGGAGTCAATATACGAGGTATATAATACATTGTTTATAATGTATATTTCTTGATAGTTTCGTTTTCTGTAATTTTAAACTCAAATGAACTATCAAGTAAAGATGGGTATACAATATAAACAATTACTTCTATGAATAAGTATAAACAATAATGTCCAATCAATTATACTCTTAAACGACGGAACTACGCTGACCGGACGTCATCCCATTAACCAATACCCGCTCTGCCCTGCTCTAACTTCTCTAGCTTTTGGCGTCTATACTAGCGGCATAAGCGCTGCGAGTAGTAGAGCTCATAGAAATTGCCGACAAACACAGAAAAAGTGTCTGTGATCCTGTTACGCGGGTATCTGAGTGTGTGTGTGTGAGTGTGTGTGTATGTCTCAGATGGGTTTTTGGTTGATTGGCAAACTGACTGAGCGGGTTGGGCGGACGAAGCAAAAAACCTTCTGGCCTGACTGTTGTCCGGAGATCCCTACTATATACTGTCTCTGTGTCGCTTGGTCCGCTGTTATGTATTGAACATCGTAATCTTCCGCTGGCTCGACGTTTTATATTTTCTCTGTGTTTTGTGTCGGTTTCAATTCTCTCGGCGCATGAGCGTCGGAAAAATATTGCTGTGAAAGTTGACGTTTTTGTTTACGGTGTAATGCATGCGTGTATACACGTAGATGCCTGTTTTAAATTTGTAGGAAACATCGGAACGATAGCAACAATAACAGAAGTAATAATATAACTTATCACAATGAGTGAATAGAAGCAGTGAAAACAAAACGGCTTTTGACGACGCTGGTCCTACGATATAATTGCAAAAGGACAAGTGCTTACCTGTTTGACAGCAAAGAATCAAGTTGACGATTGGCGGATTAGCTGCCTGGCACATATCACACTACAAACGATAATTTGGTGTGCCTTTTCTTGGACAAAAGATCAGCCATTTTATTCATGCTAAGAGACCCTTTTCTATCCTGCGTGCCAGCAACATGCGTGCGTGCTACACATTGTATAGTTTACGACAGTTTTCGAGGGACATGTGAAAGTCGTGTAACCAGCATGATTTCTGCGCGGTCATACGTTTGAAAAGCACATGTTGACAATTGTGAGAGGTGTATTTATGTATACATAGGTGAATTTAACAATAAATCAACAAATAAATTGGAAGAGTTCCCGTTTTTACTAAACATTAAATAGTTTATAAAAATACGGGGCTAAGTAGTAACGCTAGTGTATACATAGGGTAGGTCATTGCTGCTTTATGACGCGTCGCCGTTCTGTGCCAGTTTAATTCTCCTCTGGCCTGAAAGTCGCTGCTTTACACAGCCGCTACCACGGACCAAGGTACCGAGCATCAGTACAGCAGCAGCAATGACAACAGTAAAACAGCAGAAACAATAATTGCTGCCGGTTTTGGGACAGGGAGTGAACGAACGGACGACGGAGCAGGCAAAAGCAGGCAGAGAAGAAGAAAGAAATGAGGCAATAGCGGCAGCAGCGCAAAGCGTTGTCCTATTGTTTTTGTTGTTCTATTCTGTTGTTGCGTTCTTTTCGCCTATTTCGATGACGACAACGTTCCGTCCGTCTACTGTCGGGTGCGACGGCAAGGATGAACGCTGTCCAGTAATAGCAGAGTGACCTCAGTGGCAGCGGTAACAGTAGACAGAAAGCTAGTCGCTGGGAATTGTTCGTAGTGAAACGACATAGCGTTGGGATGAGTGAACTCATTGTTATGAGAAAGGGAGGTGGACCTTTCAATAGAGCAACAACTGACTTTACTCAACATTTACGCCGTTACGTAAATGCCGACGGAGAACTGACGAAGAAAATCTATTTTAAATTAAGTAAACTATCCTGTAAAGCCTCATTCATTAGGCAAGTGTCTGGGTGTAAAATATTCTCATATCGAGAGCAATGCTGGTAATAATGCATAATCTAATAAAGTAGTTGTACAAAAGAGCGCGTGTCCACTAAAACTATGCAAACGAGAGTACCGAAGCAATGCCGGCAGAGACAGAGGCAAAAGAGGACGGCCTTTGAACAGAGCAAACTTGCCAAAGCGGATTCACCTTTATTTTAAGAAACATCAAAGGGAGCAGCAGTTGTATCAAATAAGAGTTTTTATAAGCGACACTAAAATTAATAAAATACCACTACCCGTCATTTCTTGGTTGTGTGGCTGTAACCCCGACGCACCTTTGTGGGTTCTCAGCGTTTGCCAGCCGAATCTGGGCAAAGCAAAAGGAGGAAAATGTACGCACCTGTGAGACATTGGAAGGTACTAAATATTTAAACAAAATGAAATCAACAAATGGAATACGTATCAGTTCATCTCTGAAATTCAGTTCATATATTGTAAAGCAAAACACGCAAAAAGGAAAAGAACGTTTAAGTTAGATATTTAATCTGCCTATTAGACAATAAGTCAGTCCGTCGGTGGAAGATAATCAAGCGGAATAAATCAGAATGTTGTAAAGCAAAATCAGAGTGTAACAATATTAGCAGTTGTGTCTGCCTGTGGCTGTGAGGTCGATAGAGCTGCCGCAATGGCCTGGCATCGGTGCGAGAAGTGTGGCAAGAAGTTTGCCTTCCAAAAATCCCTCATCGAACACCAAATACAGGCAAAGCATAACCCGACTTCAAGAGGGCAGCCGTTAACAAGTGGGCAAATTCAACAGGCCGTTCGGCACCCAGAGGTAAATTTCTATATTAATACATTCGTTTAAATCTTTCTTGCATTCGCACACGTACTCGTACGAAACTACATACATTTTGCCGACAACGGTAAAATTACACTGGCCGCTGATGCTACGCAGAATGACTCAGTTTCTTTGCTTTGCCTCCACAATGATTTATAGCACTTTCAATCATTGATTCCCATTTTTTTTTACATTAGTATATTTCTAACTAAAGCTTAGTGGCCAAAATACTAATATTCATTGGGGCGTTTAGCACTCCATTGTTTATAACAGAATTCTACGTATTTCGTGTCCACTCAGTACGTGTTGACAAAGGACTGCTCGATCGTTGATGACAGTAAAAAGAAATCATAGGTATCATATGTATAGTAAGAGTGTTCTTAAGTTATGCTGAAGCAGGTAGTTTAGTGTGAGATAACTTATGCTTTGGAATTAGCGATACGAATGTATTTATAGGTCATAGAATAGTAAATATTTTGGAACGATTATATGGCTTTAGACATTTTCAGGCATATTTTATTTTGTATTCATTTACAAAGTTGATAAGGACGGAGAGTCATTCCGTTTCAATGACCTTTCATTTCCTCGGTTACCGTAAAACCCACAGGCAATATTTTTACTAAGTTGTGTGAAAGTTTGTTAGACTATAACCATGAGTACTTACTTGCAACGACTAAAAATTCTCAGCATCAATACAGTGAGCCGCGCCTTGGGAGGATGAAAAACATTGTAAACAAATTGCATAGGTTAAGTTAAATAAGTGAAAGAGATATGGGACCATTGTGCAATAATATGTTATCCTATATAGTCTATAACATGTTATAGGTAATGACCCATAAGAGAAATTACTTGTGGGTTACGCATTTTATTGAAATTTCATAACAATCCGTTACCATTTGGACTCAATCATGAACTCGTGCTCCTCGTTATCGTGCAAACGGTCTTGTATATACTATATTTTCAACAAAATATGAATACACAAACGAAAATACACAAAGCGTAAGTTTTTTCGAGTATCGTGAGCGTTTACTTTTATACTTACACTTGCATCTTAGAATGTTTATCTGTGTCAACCTTATTCACGTGTTTGTTGTAAAAAAGATAATTCGTTCCAACTCACCGTATCTTCAAAGAAAATATCCCTTGAGGATTACCTACTGCGCTCAAGGAATCATATTGGCTGTTTTTAATTAAAGTGAAGGTCAAAATTGTGTCACCTCTCAAAATACCCAAAGCGCTCTTACATATTTTTATGTTGTCATTTGAGATAACTACCAAGTTGTTCTTTGAGGACACCTTTCTAAAACTGAAATTGTTTAAATAGAGTTCTATCGTTTGAATGATCTATTAAGGAAAATCATGTCGGTGAATTGTTTTACTCTCGAATAGTCAAGGTTTTCAATATTTAGCTGTACTTAAACGTTATAGTTAGTTTCTTTTAGACCTTAGATAAGTGAACTTCTGGAAATTGGTTACTCCAATCGAAGAACAGCAGGAAAATTCTCGCATTAGTTAATCTTGCGTGTTTGTTATGATTCGTATAAGCGTCTATCTGGTTGAATGCTGCGCTAATGATTTTGAATCATGTTGAACATCCACAGGGAATGAAGGTAGTTACCACGCGCATTGCGCCTATCCTCCGTGTATAAAAATGCTGTGATTAGATAAAGTATATCTAAGAATTTTTGGGCCGGAAGCCCTGTAGGCCTTGTTATCTAACCGTCTATTGCGTTCATTTGGATACATTCTCCAAATATTTACCCTCTAAGTCCAAGGCATACTAAATATGAATTTACTTAATCAACCCATGGGACAGAGAACGATAGAACAAGACTCTTGTCTGGACCAGATGACATTTCTTAGCCGACTTTCAAATGCCGTACATCATCCGTCTTTAGAGCCTATTTGGATTAGAGCCTGGACCGCATTCATGTAGTTCAACGTGCATCTAACTACTTTACACGATATGCACTGTACGTCGTTGCCGTATCATCGCGAGAATTGGGTTGTCCTATACAACCTTTATGACACTTGATCCTTGGCAAACGATACAATCTCACTATATGGATGCGTTTGTTTCTTTCTGTGTGGAAACAGTTTCTCCGTTCATGAAAAAGATTAGGGTTGTTCGATCAGCTGTTATCGACCGGCTCAAGACATCATTTTTGCTCATTCTTTTAGGCTATATATATAAAGGACAAGATGATTAATAAACTGGACCGGATCTCGTCGCTACGAAGTTGTCCGGATTTTGGAACGGCTGCATCTAGTGGATATGCAAAAAAGAACTAATTTAAATCGTAAGGTGAAATTAAGGCATTGACTTTTTTTACACTCAATGAATTCAATCAACTTCAAGCAGGGCCTTGCAGAGATTCTTTCCTACAATTCAATCAACCCGCTATTCAACGAACACGTTACAGTTTCAGCCACACCAACTGAAAATCTTCTAGATGACATAAATCCATGGATTCTGTTATCTCGACAGGTTATTTATCAAAAAAAAGGCAGTTTCGACTGTAGTTTTAGAACAGGCCCGGCATTTTTAAAATATGAGGTTTAAATCTTAAGCCTTATTGTGTGTAAGTATGTGTGTAAAACTCATTGATTTTATCCTATTAGACTGAGTCATTCTCTGACTGTACTACAGTGAAGGATATTGTCCACGGGATTTGAGTTATAATGTATATTTTATTTTAGCTAGTAGCAACAACGCGTTCAGGAAGTTTGGACGCTCATAGTGTTTGTTGAAAATGTTGAAAAGATCCGCACCAAGTGTTCAGGTTTCAGTCATACGAATATTAGTAGCCTCCTTAAAACCAATACACCTCTGATTCAAGTATTTTTGGCATCGTTCCTTTGAGTCCTTATAACCGCAAAATGAATAATAAGAATCGATAATTTTATTAGATTTTTTCGATCGTCCTAACGTCTAAGTGTGTCGAAAGCTTGCACAAAAGAGAACGCTGAAATGAGTTAGCTCTGGTGAATGCAAAAGTGTTGAGAATCGAGTTTTTCCGCAAACTACGCGATAAAAGCAGCGACGTGTCAGGGTGTATTGTTATCATCAAGGACTTGTTTAAGCCTATTTTGACCGACAGCTCTGTGGAATATATTCAGCATTCCGCAGCAGTGACAGTGGAGCAACTCAATTAAACTCGTAATACCCAGCTTTTGAACTGTAGAAGACGACGGTTATAAAAAAAAACCTTGTTTTTGACCTACACCTTTCAGCTTTTTTGGTCCCAACTCGCCTTTGAAGCATCATTCAAACAATCGCACTTTTATTTAAATATTGTACATATAAACTCGTCCTGTCATCAGTGGTGTATGAAGGCTTCTCAGCCCCATAGTGATATTTCTCTTTCTGATATTCATATTTCCGTCATTGTTTGAATGTGAGAATAAGAGTATTCCATGCAAATTTTGCAAGAAACTTGCTTGAATACAAAATTAATTTTGATCAAGTTCAAGCAAAAGGCAAGTCAAAGATTATTTGAAATTGTAGCGTAATACATTGAAATGCATCAATGAGCAGTTTCGAGAGGATGCAATGAAAGTTATTGGTCAAAATAACGTACCTGAAGCACCCTAAAGTTCAATCTATGATAGTGAATCCGCATGTGCATCTAGATTCTTCTGGGCCTAGGGCGTACATGCCTTTTAGGTGACTTTTTAGCTACATGCAGATTTTAAGGAGACATAAAACCATAATGAAGGTGCACTATTTTAGAGCAGGCACACACTATGTGCGCTTTAACTCATTGTGTCTATACTATTTTTACAGGTCTTACGCTGTAAACAATGTTCGTACGAAGCCGTTGGGAGTACGGTTGACCTCGAATTACACATAAGACTACAACATGCAAGTGGTGCTCAGCCTAGTACAAATGGAGCTCGAAGCACCAAAAGCAACAACAATAGTGGATACAAGTGCAATAAGTGCAGGTAAATTAAAGCTAATTTGAGATTTTGTAGATTAAAAGAAAAAAATCCTGCAGACATTGCATGTCGTAAATTAAGGTTAGCGCCATTTCTTGTGACAAAGTAGATTCAGTAGGTTCTACAAGGTCATACCCCGTACGATGTTTCGCATATCTTCAAATTATTATTAGATTGATAGATGACACACCTAGTGTCTGAGATCTATTGACAAAGATATCGCTTTAAGTAACTAGTAAGGCCCTCGTTGTTTCTGCAGAGCTTTGTTGATCTCGTTTACTGAAAATTTTATCCCACAATTAGGTTATCACAGTGTTATCCACAGCTTTAAAAAAAATTGATTGTTGTTCTACGTTTCTCATAGCTCTTTGTACTTCCTTGTTGTGGAGATCGAATAATACCTATGCATACTGTTTGTCAGCCCTAGTTGCCCTCAAAAATACTAGAAATTATTTAGCGTTGAAGCGAAAAGCATATATATGGAGTTCTCATGTGTTCATGAGCATATCGCAATAGAGCTTTGCATACATATTTTGATTCCAGCTAAACGTATTCCAAAAAGGCTTCATGTGCCATTTATAAGTGTCGACGCATTTAAGCTACGTATATGAGTAATAATTAGATGTCATCTTTCAAAGGGCTTTTTCAACCAGCTGTACACGAATTTTACTACAAATGTACAGTTTCACAGTAAACGAAGTTTCAGCGCAGGCGCATGCTGATCGTCACCTTTTTATTGCGTCCCAGTGCCATATTTAATGAAGACCTGATTTCTCCTATTTTCATTTTTATGGATACTCCGTAAAGGACAATAAATCGGCTAATGGAGCAGTTTGTTAGAAGAAAAGTGAGGCTGCATACCGGTAGTTTAAACTCTACCTTACCGCAGTATTCAATTCTAGGTACGGACCGATTGCTATACCGCCGAAAATAGATAAAAACAACTACGCTTCTTGTAGTGATGGCATACATCAAAATGATTTACCTATGTGTATATCTAGATAGAGTAAATAAATGACAGCAAACAGAAAAACTATGGCTAAAACGATTAATTAAGAGTACCACAATAGGTGGCCGCCTAAAGTGTTCGCGGCTAAGGTCACACAGTATTCCAGAATATTTTAGATAGAAAAAGAAAATAGATCGACAGAAGAATAGATAACTGAAACAATGTTTTAATGGTACTTCTTCGCGTTGCGTGATACTGGCTCATTTCCAGTACATCGTCCAAGTACGATTAGAGCAAAATTAACGATAATTATCCTGTATCTCCTCGTAATGTCTATTTTGCAGGAAAATGTTCGATTCCCTGCCAACGTTAATAAGACACAAAGAAATATTTCATCCTCCAGAAGCGCAATATGCCTTACAACTTAAGCCGACGGGGAATACGAATTTTCCAAAGGTTTGATTACGAATTTGCTTTCTGGAAAATGTTCATGACCAATGAAAACTCAGCCTCTAACGGTCCATGATCTACGTAGGTACGAAACCGCAACATACGTAATGTTACTAACTGTACTCTGCTTCTTATATACAAACGGACGTACTGAACGTTTTCTACAGTTATAATTATCAATAAAGATGGTTAATGGTTTCGCAGTCAAAGTCTGGTCTCAAGTGCCGTTTGTGTGGCAAAGCGTTCCCCACGCCATTCTCATTCGAGCAGCATCTTATCAAGAAGCATCGATCTCCCAGTGCAGCTAGCGCCACAAGCGTTATCAGCTGTAGTAGGAGCACGAGTGGTGGAAGCAGGAGCGGCGGTAGCGGTACGGCCACTTCACCTGACAGCTGCACCGGAGCTGCTCCTCCACCGCCGATGCTCAACCGAACTGCCGCTGTACCATTGAGAACCACGAAAGAACGTCGACGACTTCTCGAAAATCACAGATGTAGAACCCAGATCGTATCACAGGTTAGCACCCAAAAATCCTATACTACCAAAAATACTAATAACATATATTTTTGCTCGATCATTTTCTAACTATACATATATACGCTTTTATTTCCTACCATCTAACGCTTTTTCGCATGCTATAACTATCCTCTGATAAGCCTTAAAAAATATTATTTTATTTTAAATATGTTTGGAAATACTAAACGCTCAAAGAACATTTGCTGTTTTTGAGGATTTCAAAATCATAATAGCAGGTTTTTTCGCTATGTAGAAAATAAGCAGAGATAAATCAGTAGAAAGGGGTATCGTTAAAAAAAATTACTGGAAATGGATAACACTAATGAGCTTTTTCACGTGCATTGTTGGCTCGCCTTGGCTAGACATGATGAGAGCTATTGAATACAGGCATGAAGATAAAGCAAGGAAACTGCTGTCGAAACCTTAAAATCGATATTTATTTATTTTATTATTGTTATTATTTTACTTATGTGCGCCTTCATCTTATCTGATAAATTGCATGGTGGAATGAATTTGAGAGAGAAAAAGTGTTCTCGCATTTTTTTTGAAAACGTTGAGACATGCGTTCTTCTGTATGACAATCGTGCCGTACGCTATCCGGGTTGACATATGATTACTCCAGCGGATGTTACAGTTATTAGAGCCCAGGTCTCTTTTTTCTTTTCTTTTTTCCTTTGTCTCTCTAGTAGCTAGTGTAGTCTTCCTCATTGGGTTGTTTTAACCTCTTCAAAAGTGTTCACTTATCCAGGCTAGTCTCCTGTCTATAATCTAGTATCATATGCTCTTATACTTGCCGTCGTGCACTTGTATACCAAGTTCAAAATGCCCAGTAAATTGTGCAGTGTGTAGCTTCCTTGCACGTTCTAGTTCTACTAGTGAGTCTCCTATGTTGATGTTACCTATGATGATGACTTAGGTTAGTTTACGTTATTGCTATACTTTACTAATCTTCTTTATTTTATTACCTATTTGACGGTCGAACGGTAGGTTTACAGAAAAATACGAGAATTCAAAATGTCTCTGTTGGTGCAGTGTATATCTTCATTTTTAAGATCTCAACACCAACTTTTTTCTACATGGGAATGATTTTGATACCCAGCTTACTTGGAAAGCTTTTAAATTTCGAGGAAAAATGCTTATATATAGGGTTTAAAGTTTGGCCATCATTTTCTGAATGTTCTTATGTTAGCTTATCTCATGCATAATAAAAAGGTTATAACAATGAACGTATGTTTGATAGCGTAAACATTCGTCATAGAACTCACGGCCAGAGATAAAAGATAAAATATTTAGTTCATTTGTAAAGCTAACCGAAAATAAATAGCACAAATGCTATATTGTGACAGGAAATAGTGTCATCTGGTATTTGAAAGTTCCAACGAGTTTGGTTGCCTGGACGTTGTGGTGTCATCTGATACTTGAGAGCTCCAATAAGTTTGGTTGTCTGGTCGTTATGACAAGGAATAATGCCATCTGGTATTTGAAAGCTCCAACGAGTTTGGCCATCTGGATATTGTGGTAAAGAAGAAAGCCATCTGATACCTGAAGGCTCCAACGAGTTTGGTCGTCTGGATGTTGTGTTAAAAAAGAAAGCCATCCGATATTTGAAAGCTCCAACGAGTTTGGTCATCTGGACCTTGTGGTAAATAAAGAAGAAAGCCATCTGGTAAATGAAAGCAGTGAGACAACGCAAAAATAGTGAAATTTTTTCTGTGAATACAAGTGGTTAAATACGTGGTTGGAAATACAAAAAACCGGGAGGAAATGGGAATGATAAACTCTACATTTCTGACTTAAAAAGCAGAGATCTGTTGAATAGAGTGAGCCGATAAATGATATTCTCTCACTTTTCGCGAACAACATACTGTTCCCAAAGTAAACTCAAGATGCATCCAAACGATAGTAACAATACTTGATTCTTTCCCATATTATATGATCCAGCTAAACGCACTAAATATACGACGAATCTACCGTATGTTTAGACTTCTTCCGTTCGAATTCGCGTGAAGTTAATGAATAGGGCGGTGGCGAGATTGGTGTCATAAGCTAGTTTCGCAGAAGTCGCTTGTTTGAATCCGGACACCCCCGAAAAAGTTTTATGGAGATCGCTTTAACAAAGCAGTATTTATACCACTCTTGCAAATTACATAAAATTCTGCTGTCATGCAAGGGCTGACGGCACCAAACGCGATGGAGTCGAACAAAGTTGTAGGGACATTTGCTTTGCGTACGGTAACAACGCTATCGCTGAAAGGACTGTTTAAGAGTGGTTTTCCTAATTTGAAGATGATGTTTGGCACTCAAAGGGCACCTTTTTCTCTGGCCAACCATCTGAATTTGATACCGATCCTCTGAAAATACCTTCAAAGGAATACATCCGATAAACGGGGATATGCCGAAAAGTCAGCCACACGACCGTCGTTAACCATCTTGGACCTCAACGACTTGCAAAGAAGCATCAATCTTGAACGCATCATGAACTCTCTAATACAATAAAAAATTACGGCTTAACATTGCATATCGCCCAGTATTGAGCGTTACGAGGCAATGATGGCCGATTTGTGGGTGGGATTATTACCGATAATGAGAAGTGCTGTCTGTACGTGTGCATCGATCAGAGATAGGAATGAGTAATTTCACGAAAGAAGGCCAGATCCGAAAATATTTTATTTTGGAAACCTGACATATTCTAGAATTACAAATTGATTTAAGGGAATTCATCCATAATTGCTTTCTGCAAACCGGATAGTTAATCGGCACGTTTGTTTAGCCCAGTTGTATTAAGTCAGCCATGTTAATCAAGAGAAAAAATCTGACAAAAGAGGCGAGTCCATCAGGCTCCACAATATAAGGCTACACATGGTAAATATCATCAAAGTTGCCCTTTTCGACTTCAGTTTGAAGGTCTTGTGGTACCCTCCATCTTCATAGGAATAAAAATGTGGTGCTTTTTATGTAATGAAAAAGGCGCGGAAACTTTCTTATCAACCTTGTATTTATAGATTTTGTTGTATAATCGCTTGAAACTTTTTCACGAGAGTTCTTCAAGGTTCTCATTTTCCTCATATTTTTTGTATTTCAGAATTATGGACCTGCATTAACGAACAAGGCGACGGAATTCCCAGTTATTTATCGGGTAAAAAAATTTAAGCTCGGAAGGTCTCTAGTTATCATTAGAGTCGCATCGCACTAAGATAGTGGCTGATAAATGCTTATGTGCAGCGACGCGACGCTACCCGTTAGTTTCAAGTAATACACCGTGTAGCTATCTTGTTGTTATACAGAGTAAGTCGAGAAGAATCTTTTGCAAATTAAGGTGGATTCTGTAGCATTTTTTTCAATTTACTTGTTAAGGATACTAGATATTTGTCGAACTCATCTTTGAAGCAAAATGAATTAAAAGCTTCAAACAGCAGCCTTCCTCTGTCTTTAGCAATTTATTGATGCAAATCTAGTATTTATATTCACCCTGAATTTTTGAAAATTAACAATAGCAAACAAAGTTATAGTTTTATTTAGTATGTATACTGCGTTAATGGACGAAAAGCAATGGCAGCTTGCAAGTCAATAGCTTGTATTTCTTTGAAGGTGGTACTGTTGTACCATTGCGCAATACCAGAACGAGACATCTTCAAACGGGTTTTGATTGAAGGAAGTGACATTATTCTATTTTCCACTGGTGCCCTACATGTTGATAAAAAAAATCGGCAAACTGCTAACAAACGATGTGCAGCACCAGTGTTTTGCGGTGCCGTCTCTTGCAGCGTGACTGTCGTCACTTCTTGGGACATGCTTCTGATGCAGTTCTTCTCTGCCTCCGCTATTAATGGATCCTGCTGCCACACATTAGTGATTTTTTCACAAAAATCTAAAGTATTTATTATTTCGAGCCCTCGGTATTTTTTAGAAGTTCTCTAACATATTGAGATCTGCTGAATTAGCAGGCAACGACAGCTCTCTGCCATTGTTGGCAATGTGTAGCCTTCAAGCGCTGTGATCAAGTGCCTTGCCATGCGTGAAGATGTAATCATTGTAAGACAGAAATTTCCGTACATCTTGGGGTCATCTTCATACTTCGTGGTACACTTTTTTCAATTCTTGTTACTGATTTTAAGTGACACCAGCGGAAGGTATTTTCTTAGCTTCCAAACAACGTCGGTGGGACCATGGTCAGAAACATGAAACTATTCGGTATTCTCTGCTCCTCAGTAACATCTGAGTCCCCTACAATTTCGATACTTCACGTACGGAAACACGAAAAATTGCCGGACAACGCCTGAAACAGTCGAGCTCATTTAAACACTACTAGTTTAGTTATTCAGCAAATCATCCTGTCTGCGATCGCTAAAATACGATATATCGGTTCCACTGGTCGTATCGGTTGGTCGTTGGAAAAAGTTAGAAGATGTCTTTATTGACACCGAATGTAGAATACTAGTAAAATAGAATAGTGCCACTTTTATATGCCAAAGCCGTTTGAAAATATCTCGCTTTAGTGCTGGGTAATTTGCCTAGAAAGGTCGAGGCGGTTGGAATGAGTCTGTTTGGTTAAGCACTGGTTATATATCTGTGCGGCAGAAGCCTTTTGTTGAACACCCAGTGTAATATCTAATCAGCATTTCTTGAGTCATAATCAATTACTTGGTTCGTCCTTGCACCGGTCATCTAAAGCGGTGACAGCCGTTTGTAAGTTTTCCACGATTGCCAACCAATGGCACTTTACAAACATTTTATACACGGAAGGCAAATAGGACTGTTCGAACATCCGTTTGCTGTTGAAGGAGAAAGTGGAAAAAGCGCCCCGTAAGCAGCCAAGTGTCTACCCGAGCTGGCAATAATTGTATAGATTATATATTATAAGGATAAGGCGAACTGTCCAATATTTTATTATTTATCAAGTTATTGTTGATTTATTTCTACTTTTTCAATCTGTCATTTAGCTGTTTTCGGTAATTTATCGAGCTATGAAACGTCCCACGCTGCTAATAGTTATCCTTAATTATACAAATATAATAGATACGTTCAACAATGACACGGCCGAAGTGGAAGCCAATATAGCGGCATCTTCTTACGTCATGATGGCGGCCGGTCTCTAGCTAATTAGGTGAAGATACACTACCAACTGTACTGTTTATTAACGTGCTTGATTGTGTACACAAACTGAGATTTTTTTTCTAGATTGTACAGCAGACGCCGTAACATTGACTCCTTTGATTCGAATTAGTTTATCCATCTTATTGTTTCGTATGACCATTATGCTGTCCGTAGCTGAAGCTGTGCCCGTTAATTTTTAGCAGACTTTTGCAAGAAAATTGTGTGCTACTAGCAATGTAGATTTTTACAAACCGTAAATCGAAACAGGCGACTTCGATAGAAATAGGAAAACGGAATCTTTCAGTGGATCCATGCAAACTGAATTGGGTTCATCAGCGTTCCAATGTGCCTGAGAGAATTACTTTTTGTTTGCTTATTAACCTCAGATGATGAACAATTTTCCTCCTTCTTCGACAGATGAAGCACACAATGTAGATAATATGCTAATTAAAAGTAGTATTGAAGGAAGTTAGTGGCCTTAATCAGGTGAATGAATGTATACGAATGTCACATATTTCAATCAAGCCAAAAGCGTCCAGTCCGTTAAATACCTACTCTAAATATAGGCAGGCTCCTTATGGTCCGAGCTCGCAGTTTGCCACTAAGAGATGCGTTCGTTCATTTTACCCAGCTTTCCTATATATGCAAAAAGAAGCTTGTTTCATCAATTTTTTTGTTTGTCGACATGATGACATAATCATTTTCCTTATTGTTTTCGTCAATTCTCTAAACACAGTTACGGGAGCAGTAGATCTCGAGTACTAAGTACGTAAGGATTATTATAAAACACTTGACACCAATACCTATCGTAAATATAGTGAAAAGGGGAAAAAATAAGAAGCATTACGCAAGTGAAAAGATCCAGTAGTAAAATAAGATACTCATTCACTATGCACGTTGGAAGACAATGAATCGAGATGGATCATGGCAGCTTGACAGTAGAGTACTGGTTATGCTATTGAAGTTTGTGTAGGTATTACAGACAAGAGTAAAGCGTATATGGAGTCTGTCCGACATATAATATCAACTAAATTTTAGCATTTCTAGCGTTATTATTATCAAGGCCGCCTTTTAGCATACTTGACAATTCACTAAACTGTAGCGTCGTCTTGCTTTTCCTATGAAAGTACCCCTGGAAAAATGTGTTTCCTTTCTAAGATATAAATCCTAGTAATCTCCCTAGAAATATATATAGTCTCGCTTATACCGGAAATTTTATCTGCAAGAGACATGCATAATTCAGTCATCAATTTGTCCTACTTTTATAATAAGCGATAAGTTTGCCGCTCCCGTCGCCAGTGTGGTTGAATATAAGAAATGTATTTATTTAGAAGTTTTGGCCATTTTATGAAGAATGGCATTGTTGTTCCTCAAAAAAAGTACAACTCCATTTATAGAGCGGACTAAGCAGTGCAACAAGCGCTTTGCGCGCACTATCCGCTTTGTTTTCATAGGGGAAGTATGTTACGATGCTTTTAAGGTAGATTTCACGGTCAAAGCAAAGAGTTCCTAAAGAGATGAATGGTCATAATTACTTTTAGATGGGTCCATTTGTAGTTTTATTCTAACAACGTATCAGTAAAATTTGCTGCTAAAAATATGGAACTAATAGAGGAATAATCCACGGCTAGCATTGGCCATAATTCTTACGTTGCCTTATAATTTCGACGGTCCCCTACTGACGCATGACTAAAGTATGGATAGCTTATTTTATCGTGAAGAAGGTTGATCTTCAACGCATTAAAAACAAGTCTACTAGAAGAAAAAATGTTCAATTTCCTCTTCTCTAAATATCGCAGAACTAAAAAAACCTAGTCATTAGGATAGCTAGCTCACCGATTCATTTTGTCTCCAATTTGGGCTATTTTTAAAAGCTGTGACTGTAAAGAGAAAGTGATCGGAGCACATTCGGATTCTAATCGTCTGCAATATTATGTGGTAACGCGAAATTTTCCTGAATGTTGGTAATATGAATATATAGGCGATAGTATAAGGATGTATGAAATTTATGATACGTGCATATAGATAATATCATGACTACTGTTCCATTATGAGAAAATTGACAAGTAGTATAATTTTTCAAATACAAGTACTATATATATATATATGCGAAAAGTGCAGTGTATGACGGACATACATAAAAGGGGGCTTTAATGTCCCCTGCACGTGCGATTCAATATCTATTCTCAACGCATTATTATTACAATTGATAGTTTTGGGCAAATCGTGTAATATTGATGTATTTTTACTAAAAAACAAAGTGAAAATTTCATCTAACCTAATGTTTATACAAAGTTGACCTATAAAAACATGTATCTTTAATTTAGATACATCTATTTAACCCTAACGCAAAAGACGCTGCAGAGCAAAAGGGCTACAGGTCCCATTATATAGGGGACTGCGCTGTTAAATGAATCAGAAAAATAAACTGTCATTTGCATTTATTATTCTGCAATTTAAGCAAAAATTGTGCGAATAAAAATTTTCAGTTTGTACATTTACCTAATGGGCAGCATTGCATCATCAGTAGTACGTTAAATCTAACCATTTAGTAGACGGCAACTGAACTGTTACTCAGACCATAGCCATGTCAGTCATTTACGATAGCGCTTAACTAGTTCCGTGTTAGATTCCCTGTGAGTGCATTTGTTGTGGACTGATACCCCTAAAATGGCTTAGAAAAAAATAGTCTTGAGATAAATTTTTAACAAAAACATATTTTTTTCAAATCATTGACATTTTCTCTATATACTAATGCACATACGATCGATATTGACACTGGCATATATAGATATGCATATACGCATCCAGTAAACCCTCTATGTATATATAATGTATCATAGTAGATAAATGAATAAACGAATCTATTTATTTATTACCATTAGCTTTTACTAGTGACGTTGCCGGTCGTTATGCGGCTTAGCTCCGTGCAACGTCGCACACATAGAAACGAAAAAAAATTAAATGTTAAAGGGAAAAATCCAAGGGTACATGGATATGTTGATTCTGTATGAGTGATCCACCTTGTATATGTATAAATGA